AAGTGGACGCAAAATGTGCCTTCATGAACGTGATGATTTAATGATTTAACATTGTTCGTTTCAACTTATTTCAGTGAAATATGTTGCTACGTTACATGTTCTTCAAGCAGTTTCCGTAGTGTAGTGGGTATCATGTTCGCCTAACACGTGAAAGGTCCCTGGTTTGAAACCGGGTGGAACATTTTATCTAAAACCAAAACAATTCGGATTTTATTTAAAGTGGACGCAAAATGTGCCTTCATGAACGTGATGATTTAATGATTTGACATTGTTCGTTTCGACTTATTTCAGTGAAGTATATTGCAACTTCACAAGCTTGACAAGCAGATTCCGTAGTGTAGTGGTTATCAAGTTCGCCTAACACGTGCAAGGCTCCTGGATTGAAACCTGGTGGAAACATTTTACGTATAACCAAAAAAATCGTTTTTTATTTTACGTGCAGGTAAAATGTGCCCTCATGAAGATGATGATTTCATGATTCTTCATTGTTCGCATAGGCCTATACCAGTGAAGTGTGTTGCAACTTCTTAAGTTTGACAAGCAGTTTCCGTAGTGTAGTGGTTATCACGTTTGCCTAACACGTGAAAGGTTCCTGGTTTTTAAACCGGGGGGAAACATTTTACGTATAACCAAAAAAAATCGTATTTTATTTAAATTTGACCTAAAATGTGCTTTCATGAAGATGATGAATTCATGATTCTTCATTGTTGCCATAGGCCTATACCAGTGAAGTGTGTTGCAACTTCGCGAGTTTGCCAAGCAGTTTCCGTAGTGTAGTGGTTGTCACGTTTGCCTCACACGCGAAAGGTCCCCGGTTCGAAACCGGGTGGAAACATTTTATGTAAACCAAAACAATTCCTGTTTTATTTAAAGTGCACGTAAAATGTGCCCTCATGAAGATGATGATTTCATGATTCTACATTGTTGGCATTGGCCTATGCCAGTGAAGTATGTTGCAGCTTCACAAGTTTGACAAGCAGTTTCCGTAGTGTATTGGTTATCACGTGCGCCTAACACGCGAAAGGTCCCCGGTTCGAAACCGGGCGGAAACATTTTACGTATAACCAATAAAAATCTATTTTATTTAAATTGGACCTAAAATGTGCTTTCATGAAGATAATGAATTCATGATTCTTCATTGTTGGCATATGCCTATACCAATTAAATGTGTTGCAACTTCACAAGTTTGACAAGCAGTTTCCGTAGTGTAGTGGTTATCACGTTTGCCTAACACGTGAAAGGTTAAATTTCGATTTAACGTCGTGAGAATATTACTGTGTTATTTTATTTTATCAATTTATTATTTTATTCTCATTCTACGTGACTTTACCGAAAGAACCAAAGAAGACGTGAAAGGTTCCTGGTTTTTAAACCGGGGGGAAACATTTTACGTATAACCAAAAAAAATCGTCTTTAATTTAAATTGGACCTCAAATGTGCCCTCATGAAGATGATGATTTCATGATTCTTCATTGTTGGCATTGGCCTATGCCAGTGAAGTATGTTGCAGCTTCACAAATTTGACAAGCAGTTTCCGTAGTGTAGTGGTTATCACGTTTGCCTAACCCGTGAAAGGTCCCTGGTTTGAAACCGGGTGGAAACATTTTACGTATAACCGAAAAAAAATCGTATTTTATTTAAATTGGACGCAAAATGTGCTTTCATGAAGATGATGATTTCATGATTCTTCATTCTTGGCATAGGACTATACCAGTGAAGTGTGTTGCAACTTCACGAGTTTGACAGCCAGTTTCCGTAGTGTAGTGGTTATTACGTTTGCCTAACACGTGAAAGGTTCCTGGTTTGAAACCGGGCGGAAACATTCTATGTAAAACCAAAACAATTTGTATTTTATTTAAAGTGGACGTAAAATATGCCTTCATGAACTTGATGATTTAATGATTTGACACTAGACGTTTCGAAATATTTCAGTGAAATATGTTGCTACGTTACATGTTCTTCAAGCAGTTTCCGTAGTGTAGTGGTTGTCATGTTCGCCTAACACGTGAAAGGTGGTTTGACACACAAAACAATTCCTGTTTTATTTAAAGTGCACGTAAAATGTGCTTTCATGAAGATAATGAATTCATTATTATGCATTGATTCTTCATTGATTCTTCATTGTTGGCATAGGCCTATAGCAGTGAAGTATGTTGCAACTTCACAAGTTTGACAAGCAGTTTCCGTAGTGTAGTGGTTATCACGTTCGCCTTACACGCGAAAGGTCCCCGGTTCGAAACCGGGTGGAAACTTTTTCTGTAAAACCAAAACAATTCCTGTTTTATTTAAAGTGCACGTAAAATGTGCCCTAATGAAGATGATGATTTCATGATTCTTCATTGTTGGCATAGGCCTATGCCAGTAAAGTATGTTGCAACTTCACAAGTTTGACAAGCAGTTTCCGTAGTGTAGTGGTTATTACGTTTGCCTAACACGTGAAAGGTTCCTGGTCTGAAACCGGCTAGAGATATTTTACGTATAACCAAAAAAAATCGTATTTTATTTAAATTGGACCTAAAATGTGCTTTCATGAAGAGAATGAATTCATGATACTTCATTGTTGGCATAGGCCTATACCAGTGAAGTGTGGTGCAACTTCAAAAGTTTGCCTAGCAGATTCCGTAGTGTAGTGGTTATCATGTTCGCATAACACGTGAAAGGTTCCTGGTTTGAAACCGGGTGGAAACATTTTACGTATAACCAAAAAAAATCGTATTTTATTTAAAGTGCACGTAAAATGTGCCCTCATGAAGATGATGATTTCATGATTCTTCATTGTTGGCGTAGGTCTATACCAGTTAAGTATGTTGTAACTTAGCAGTTTGGAAAAGCTGTTTCCACATTGTAGTGGTTATCACGTTTGCCTCACACGCGAAAGGTCCCTGGTTTGAAAACGGGTGGAAACATTTTATCTAAAACCAAAACAATTCGGATTTTATTTAAAGCGGACGTAAAATATGCCTTCATGAACTTGATGATTTAATGATTTGTAATTGGACGATTCGACTTATTTCAGTGAAATATGTTGCTACGTTACATGTTCTTCAAGCAGTTTCCGTAGTGTAGTGGTTATCATGTTCGCCTAACACGCGAAAGGTCCCTGGTTTGAAACCGGGTGGACACATTTTACGTAAAACCAAAACAATTCCTGTTTTATTTAAAGTGCACGTAAAATGTGCTTTCATGAAGATAATGAATTCATGATTTTGCATTGATTCTTCATTGATTCTTCATTGTTGGCATAGGCCTATGCCAGTGAAGTGTGTTGCAACTTCACAAGTTTGACAAGCAGTTTCCGTAGTGTAGTGGTTATCACGTTCGCCTTACACGCGAAAGGTCCCCGATTCGAAATCGGGCGGAAACATTCCATGTAAAACCAAACCAAAACAATTTGTATTTTATTTAAAGTGCACGTAAAGTGTGCCCTCATGAAGATGATGATTTAATGATTCTTCATTGTTGGCATAGGTCTATACCAGTGAAGTGTGTTGTAACTTAGCAGTTTGGAAAAGCTGTTTCCATATTGTAGTGGTTATCACGTTTGCCTCACACGCGAAAGGTCCCTGGTTTGAAACCGGGTGGAAACATTTTATCTAAAACCAAAACAATTCGGATTTTATTTAAAGTGGACGCAAAATGTGCCTTCATGAACGTGAAGATTTAATGATTTGACATTGTTCGTTTCAACTTATTTCAGTGAAATATGTTGCTACGTTACATGTTCTTCAAGCAGTTTCCGTAGTATAATGGTTATCATGTTCGCCTAACACGCGAAAGGTCCCTGGTTTGAAACCGGGTGGATACATTTTACTATAACCGAAAAAAATCCTGTTTTATTTAAAGTGCACGTAAAATGTGCCCTCATGAAGATGATGATTTCATGATTCTTCATTGTTGGTATAGGCCTATGCCAGTGAAGTATGTTGCAACTTCACAAATTGGACAAGCAGTTTCCGTAGTGTAGTGGTTATCACGTTCGCCTAACACGTTGAAAGGTTCCTGGTTTGAAACCGGGTGGAAACATTTTACGTATAACCAAAAAAAATCGTATTTTATTTAAATTGGACGTAAAATGTGCTTTCATGAAGATAATGAATTCATGATTCTTCATTGTTGGCATCGGCCTATACCAGTGAAGTGTGTTGCAACTTCACGAGTTTGACAAACAGTTTCCGTAGTGTAGTGGTTATCACGTTCGCCTCACACGCGAAAGGTCCTGGGTTTGAAACCGGGTGGACACATTTTATGTAAAACCAAAACAATTCCAGTTTTATTTAAAGTGCACGTAAAATGTGCCCTCATGAAGATGATGATTTCATGATTCTTCATTGTTGGCATAGGCCTATGCCAGTGAAGTATGTTGCAACTTCTCAAGTTTGACAAGCAGATGCCGTAGTGTAGTGGTTATCACGTTCGCCTAACACGTGAAAGGTTCCTGGTTTGAAACCGGGTGGAAACATTTTACGTATAACCAAAAAAAATCGTATGTTATTGCAATTGGACGTAAAATGTGCTTTCATGAAGATAATGAATTCATGATTCTTCATTGTTGGCATAGGCCTATACCAGTGAAGTGTGTTGCAACTTCACGCATTTGGCAAACAGTTTCCGTAGTGTAGTGGTTATCACGTTCGCCTCACACGCTGAAAGGTCCCTGGTTCGAAACCGGGCGGAAACATTTTACGTAAAACCAAAACAATTTTATTTTATTTAAAGTGGACGTAAAATATGCCCTCATGAAGATGATGATTTCATGATTCTTCATTGTTGGCATAGGCCTATTCCAGTGAAATATGTTGCTACGTTACATGTTCTTCATGCAGTTTCCGTATTGTAGTGGTTATCACGTTAGCCTAACATGTGAAAGGTTCCTGGTTTGAAACCGGGTGGAAACATTTTAAATATAACCAAAAAAATCCTGATTTATTTAAAGTGCACGTAAAATGTGTGCTGGTGAAGATGATGATTTCATGATTCTTCATTGTTGGCATAGGCCTATGCCAGTGAAGTATGTTGCAACTACTCATGTTTTTTCAAGCAGTTTCTGTGGTGTAGTGGTTTTCATGTTCGCCTAACACGCGACAGGTCCTTGGTTTGAAACTGGGTGGAAACATTTTATCTAAAACCAAAACAATTTGTATTTTATTTAAAGTGGAGGTAACATATGCCTTCATGAACTTGATGATTTAATTATGTGTCATTGTTCGTTTCGACTTTTTTCTGTGACATATGTTGCTACGTTACATGTTCTTCAAGCAGTTTCCGTAGTATAATGGTTATCATGTTCGCCTAACACGCGAAAGGTCCCTGGTTTGAAACCGGGTGGAAACATTTTACTGTAACCAAAAAAAATCCTGTTTTATTTAAAGTGCACGTAAAATGTTCCCTCATGAAGATGATGATTTCATGATTCTTTATTGTTGGTATAGGCCTATGCCAGTGAAGTATGTTGCAACTTTACAAATTGGACACGCAGTTTCCGTAGTGTAGTGGTTATCACGTTCGCCTAACACGTGAAAGGTTCCTGGTTTGAAACCGGGTGAAAACATTTTACGTATAACCAAAAAAAAATCGCATTTTATTTAAATTGGACGTAAAATGTGCTTTCATGAAGATGATGAATTCATGATTCTTCATTGTTGGCATAGGCCTATGCCAGTGAAGTATGTTGCAACTTCACAGGTGTTGCAAGAAGTTTATGTAGTGTAGTGGTTATCATGTTCGCCTAACACGCAAAAGATTCCTGGTTTGAAACCGGGTGGAAACATTTTAAGTATAACCAAAAAAAAATCCTGTTTTATTTAAAGTGCACGTAAAATGTGCCCTCATGAAGATGATGATTTCATGATTCCTCATTGTTGGCATAGGCCTATGCAGTAAAGTATGTTGCAACTTCACAAATTTGACAAACAGATTCCGTAGTGTAGTGGTTATCACGTTTGCCTAACACGCGAAAGGTCCCCGGTTTGAAACCGGGCGGAAACATTTTACGTATAACCAAATAAATGTTCGTGTTTTATATGAAGTGGATGTAAAATGTGCCTTCATAAACGTGATGATTTCATGATTCATCATTGTTGGCTTAGGCCCATGCCAGTGAAGTATGTTGCAACTTCACAGGTTTGTCAAGCACGTTCTGCAGTGTAGTCGTTTTATTTTGCTACTTTATTTTATGTTTTGTTTGCTATACAGTATGTATTAGGTTTAATTGTGCAATATTCATTATGCTTCCCTTGTGTTGAACTGTAACACATTTTAGTACACTGACCGTTTGTGCATTTAAATACAAGACATTGTTTCACCTTACGAACTGGTCTCAGGAACAGAATTGCCCGTATATTGATTGCTTTTCACAGTGTAGTGGTTATCGAATATTTCTAATGCTTGAAAGATGAATAGTCTACAACTGGGCAGGGACCTGTAATAGTTTTGCTTCACACTTATGTTTGATATGATACAAATTGCAATAAAAGGGGATAAATATTTTATTTTAACCATTTTTACATTGTCTAATACCTTTTCAGATTATATTTAAATATATTATTATTTTTCTCATGTCATCCTCAATTTAGGGTTGATTGCTATTTCATCAGATGCTTTGCATATTTCAAGACCTTGACCATCTTTCATGTAAAATTCTATTGAAATTTTCACATCGTCTTAAAGGCTGATCTTCCTTTCTTCTTCTCATAATTCCATTGCAACATCTACTTCCTTATATGTCTATCGGACTCTGGAGATGTCCGACATAGACATACGCTCACACATGTTCGCAAACACACCCACCAAAGACACGTATAGTTTCTCTTTTATAAGTTAAACGATTTACAAAATATAACTGGAAAATGTATTCAATGTTGTGATTAAAATTACATGTTTTGATTTTTAAAAATACCTAAACATGTAGAAAGATTGACATTAAACCAATATAACATGTAAAAAAGTCTACAGAACCAAATATGCATATTTGATTGCCAACAGTTGACAGCTTTAACATAATTCAGAAAATGTAAGTACTATTATCTGATAGATTGAATAAACCTGATAAAAAACACACAAATGCACATTTAATAAAATTTGCAGGCATTTTTAAAGCTGCAATGTATGACATTCTTAGCTCGTGTTATAAACTTTAAAAAGCACAATAGCATTAACTTGTATATGATTTTGTGGGTAAAATATATTTTCAAACACTATAAGGCCACAAATAGCTTTTGTTGATTTTGGACATAAACTCGAATGTCGATAGTTATTCCAAGACAAAACGGTCCATTACAAAATGGGAAAGTATCAGTTATATATATTTTTACTGTTGAGAAATACGTCTTTGATAAACATAGCTACCTGAAGGTCACAATAATTGTTAATTTGTAGGACAAGTCATACTGTGTAACTGATTATAAATGCGCTTTCATTAAAATGTTAGTGCTTGACAAATGTATAAAACTGCACAAAGGGCTGCCTGTTTAAACTAATATTTATAGTTTTCAGAACATTTTTAGACATTGTTGATTTCATCTCGGTACAATCACTGTTTTCAACTTGTTGCTAAAATAAATGGTGGGTTCCCTCCTTTTACATAAAACCCAAGCACGAGGTTTTTTTATTCACCTCCAAAATATGTTTTTGTATGTTGACAGCATAGCAGTTATTTATATGTTAATCACATTTGGAAATGTATGTATGGACTATTATGAATTGAGTACTTTATCTATGGAAGCTGGGCGTTCAAACCGTAAGAGCATGCGCTTAATTTTCTCCACAGTGACACCATGCGTGTTTCGTCTGTGAAGAAAGCAAGAACACCATTGTACTTTTTCACGAATAATTTCCAAGATAAAATTCAAGCACTCTCCATTTTAAAGTCCTGCATTTCCCCTCTTCTCATTCTACTCCCCTCCATACACTTTGAGCTTTCTTACCTTGCAAGTTGATTGGCGTTCAAGAGCCACTGTGTTTTTGGTTCCTTGAAAATAACTTTGTACGTATGTTCAAGAGCCTGCAATTAGAAAGCATTAATTTATATTTGCGTTCAATATCACTTATTTCAGTTTCATAACATCGCAACTAAAGTATAGTGAATCTCGATCTAAAGCTTTCGTGACTGCAAGGATTCATCTTCTTTGGTTCTTTCGGTAAAGTCACGTAGAATGAGAATAAAATAATAAAATAAAATAACACAATAAAATTCTCACGACGTTTCGGCCACAACACAAGTGGCCTTCTTCAGGTGAAAGGACAGAGCTCTGTCGTCCCGACAGGTTTGTTCCTTTCACCTGAAGAAGGCCACTTGTGTTGTGGCCGAAACGTCGTGAGAATTTTATTGTGTTATTTTATTTTATTATTTTATTCTCATTCTACGTGACTTTACCGAAAGAACCAAAGAACATATAGTGAATCTATGGCAAAATTCAGAGTTATTAGATTATTTACGTTCAATCTATTTCTAAGATTACATTGCACAAAATAACCAATATTTTACTACTCTTATTTCAACTTAGAGAATGGAAATGAATGCTCATGAGACAAAAATAATGATGTTGAAAGTACTGGTAAATTGTTGCGTTGAGCTGTAATGAGGAAAGATATGACAGGAAACGTGGAAGAAAAAAAATCTTTAAAGGACAAAATAATTAACGCCTGGCAGTGGTGGTAATGCAGTCCAGCACTTGTAGAGGTGTTCAGTGGATTGGACAAATGATAAAGTTGCGAGACTTCCCTTCCTGCAGGCAGTATAGAAAAGAGGATTATGAGATTTAAAAAATTCCCCCTCACATGCGTGGGATTTCTCCCACATGTATAAACACACAATTGACTGAAAACACAATAGGGAACTTTGGAGCAATTGTTGGTACTGGCTCACCGCCTTGCAGCCTTCCAGCTTGTATAGTTCCTCAGCAAATGTGGTATGCAATTTTCTTGAACGACGCTACGTGTAAATAATCATTAGATTTTTTTGGGATAGTAATAAACGTCTGGAACATTACACATTTACAGTCCCAGTCCTGTGTAATATACTCCCAAAAAGTCAATGATGTGGCAATCCTCTTCACCGGCAGTGCTAAGCCATTGGTAAGATCTTCCATATTCCCATAGAATTGGGCAGTCACTGCAAGTGTTAGGAATGTAATTAACCACCAAAGGGATGAATGAATCCAAACCCTGGATTAATGAGCAGCTTCCTAATTGTGCCTTATGTGCTATAATCACTGCAACAATTATACAATCCTAGAAAACATAGCCTTAGAGATTACTCCAAAGCTCAAAAACAAGGACACCCTGGTAAGTTTGAACAAATGAGGGTTGTCTTGAAAAACTTGATAAGCCACATAGTTTAAAAGCTAACCTGTGCGAGTTTCATGGCAACTTATTATATTACTTTGATAGATTAGATGTAATTGTAATCTTTCTGCAGTTGAACTTGGTTATTAAACTTTTCTGTTCACCTACTCTGCCTTCGCTCAAACGTATTTTATGGACAATAAGATTTTGTGGATAATCAAGTATTTTTTTCAGGACAATCCTCACATGTTACAGGTATGTGATGAAAATTTAATTGTGCATAAACCAAGATTAAACATTCATTGCGATGCAGTTGGGTCTAAGCACAATATAAAGGGTACGTTGAACTTATTTTGCACCGCACGTAGTCCATCGTGCTCATCAGAGGTGGGGCACTAATCGGAGGTGGGGTGAACTACCATGAGGCTAGACTTATTTTAATATTTATCAGATGTCACCCAAATTTGAAAAATGACTTCATTTGGAAACATAGCAACCATCACCTCCCCCGACTGCAAAAACTTAGGACCATCCTGAACAAGTATTTTGATTTCCTGGATGAAACAAGCATTTCTAGATTTGGAGCTTTCGTGACTGCAAGGATCCATACTCTTTGGTTCTATTCGGTAAAGTCACGTAGGTGAAAAATAAAACAACAAAAATAACGACGTTTCGGCCACAACACAAGTAGCCTTCTTCAGGTGAAGGAACAGAACTGTCGGGACGACAGAAGGAAACCCTGGTAAGTTTGAACAGAGCTCTGTCGTCCCGACAGTTCTGTTCCTTCACCTGAAGAAGGCTACTTGTGTTGTGGCCGAAACGTCGTGATTTTTGTTGTTTTATTTTTTACCTACGTGACTTTACCGAATAGAATCAAAGAGTATGAAACAAGCATGTAAAAAAACCCTGTAAATGTATCTTTTACAGATGCAGATAAACTTACCGCAAGAACATAGGGTTTCATCTCCCAAAAATTCAGATTCGTGTTGTCGATGATCACTGGCGACTTTCCTAACTTCATCGCTTTTTCTGCTGTAAAGTTACAACACATCGCTGAACGGTGAGACTTGTTAGGGATACAGTGTCATATCGAATAAACCATTCGGTTGTATATATACATTTTTATATATAAAGTGTACAGCCATTTCGTTTTTAGACTTTGAGCTTGTGATGTTTGAATAGATGATGATGATGTTAACCGACAGAGCACTTCAAAATGTTATTTATATATTAATGCCTTGATCAAAGAAACTTTAAATGACAGTACACTACACATTTTAGAAAATTAAATATATTACATGTGATTCAAAACGGGACATAAAAACACTCAACAGTGTGGGTGGGAAGCACAAAGACTATACTGAACTCAAATATCAACTGACGAATCCCAAGTTTAACTTTGGCCAAATACCTACTATAATCACACAGGAATGTCTGTCCTTAACGATCGTGACGTCACTCCAGATCGACCAGCCTCCCTCATAAATATTCATGAGCAGGTGACGTCCTCCAAATGGACACCCCCCACCCCTCCTCATTAATAATCATGAACGGGTGACGTCACTGAATATGGAGTACCCCCCCCCCCCCCCCCTAATGATCATGCGCAAGTGACGTCACTCCACATCGAATAGCCACCCTCATTAATAATCATGAGCAGGTGACATCCTCCAAATGGACACTCCCCCCCCCCATTATTATTAACTATGAGCCAAGAATGTCTGTGTTCAACGCTCGTGACGTCACTCCACATCAAACAGCCCCCCTCATTAATAATCATTATAAGGTGATGTCCTCCAATTAGCGGCTGACGTCACTCCACATGGGGGGCGAGGCGCCTCCTCCCCCCTGCTCGGCGTCAACTCACAACCCTCACTACAAAGGCAGAACCCACATGTCACGTGATCTCCGTGACGCTGTTGAGACATCAAAGTAAAAAGGACGTCATGATGAACAAGGGATTATAAACCTTAAAATGAAATAGGTCTGTGTCACCGCGCCCTTACGAATTGCACACGCATTGATGCAATGAATGTCACGTCGCGGTCTGCTTTTCGCTCGCAAGTTTCAGATTTACTGCAATACACCCGTCCTTGGACGCTCAAAAGGTTATATGTTTACACACGCACTGTTTCTGCTGCTGTAATGATCTATATTATTAACATGCATGTTAAACGTCACTTTAATCAGTGCAATGATAATAAACATTGAATCAGTGTGGTGAAATATGGACAAGCAACCCCCTAATTATTACCAGCACAGCGTGGGAAGATCTTCAATCAGCAGTCGTTTGACAAGGGGTTGTACATTATTATTTTATACATTTATGCTTACCAGCATGGATATCTTTGTACCATGCTGTTATATGATTATTTTGTAATTTGCATCACGTCATGCCTAAAAATGGGCTTTAAATATAAATCAATGGGGAACCCATCTTCGGGAAGATTCTACCAGTTAAACGCAAGTCACTGTTCTGTAAAATGTTTGCTTCCCATTGGTTTGTATTGGATGTTACTTTTTCAAACATTTAGTGGGGGGTGGGGGGAGGGGCAAAATGTATATTAAGGCAGAAATCTTTATCCCTGAATGTCCCCGGCAAGAGAAGTATATTTTGGGTCCTAGATTTAAAGCTTTCGTGACTGCTAGGATCCATACTCTTTCACCTACGTGACTTTACCCAATAGAACCAAAGAGTATATTTTGGGTTTCACGTGTTTTTCTCTTTACCATTCGGGAGATGACTGATGGACACGAGTGCATTACATATGTAGTGGAGTACGAAAGTGTGTTGTGGAAACTGCGCGATTGCATGATCACACGGACAGTGTGGGTTATCTGGGGTCAGCCTGTGGAGAAGGCGAAAACAGCGTGGGTCGTGTTAGGACAGCCAGGTGCAAGGGCTGGGATGATGAGGTAACGGTTGGGCCAATTAAGCCAGAGGACCAGCAACGGCGGTGATTGGCTGTGGCTGTTGTCAAGGGCGAGGAGGCGTCGATGTGTCTGGAGAAAGGCAGGCGTTTGAGGACACGAAGCGTGCGGAGGCACGCGGGCCAATTAATTAGCGATAATGAGAATGGGGATAAATTGGGGGAGACACACAGAGAGCGGGGAGTTGGAGTTGGGAGCTGGACGAGGAGTTGGAAACAGAGTTTGGAAACAGAGTTTGGAGACAGAGTTGGAAACGGAGTTGGAACAGAGTGTGAAACAAGACGAAGTAGTTAGCAGTGGAGTGAGCGTAGCGATAGCGAAGCTGAAGACGAAGTAGTTAGTGGAGTGAGCGTAGCGATAGCGAAGCTGAAGCAAGACGAAGTAGTTAGCAGTGGAGTGAGCATAGCGATAGCGGAGCTGAAGACGCTGTGTGCGGAGTTGCTGAACGGGGAGTCGCTGAGTGCGAAGCAAGTGAAGTGATAGTGGGGAGACAAAGGTGGTGAGCGAGACGAGCGGAGCACGGCGAGCGAGCCGTGGTGACCAGGATACTGTGGAGTGTGGAGGACATGTTGAATGTTGTAAATAAAGCGGTGTTCGAAAAAAGACAGAAGTTGTCCGCGTAAAGTCGAACACTACACATATATCGATGATGACTAGTTACATATTTACACAGTATAATTACATTTCCACCTTGTTGATGGTTCCAGGTGTGCGCTTCCTCCAGTTGACTCGCATTATATTCGTAGCGTCCGTTACGACAGAAGAATTGGTCAGTGCTTAAGACCACTCCATTTGGGCCTTCTGACAGCAGCTCCCTACACAGATTACATGTCAAAAATTCACATCTCACGAACACGGTACCCCCAAAAAAACATTAATTTAATTTAAATACCACAGTTTACCTTCAGCAATCCACTAAATGTTTATCCGGCTCATTTTTCAAATCCACTGCTGAATGAAGGCGTTGCCACGCTGTGCAAGTGTTGGGGGTTATTTGGCTATACTTCACTACACTGCTCAGTGTCAATTAGTGAAGGTGAGAAGGCACAGAAGTCCAGTATACCGATAGATTTTCCAGTAGAAATACTATCATTACTTCGGCAGATATTCTTTCAAAAACTAGTGTGTGCAAAAAAAGAATATACATTTGTGGTGATACTACTCTAGGCAATATTGATATATTTTCGGGAAGAGTTTTGGATTTTTGTTTGTTTATTGGATTAGAGATTTGCAGGAAACACATTTCAATGCGTTCATATTTTCAGACGGTTTTTATCGATGTGTGTAACAGGTGTGGCTTTGGTTTAAGTTGGGCGTACATTGGCACCAACTTGTGGCAAGCGTGTTTAGAATTGCGTTATAGTAGGGTCACACGGTCACGATTGGCCAAGGGCAGATGGGCAGTACATTAGGCCCTGCCTTTCCCAAGACTACGTGGGCAATCGCGTGACGAGCCGCTTGGGGAGATGAAGTGCTGTCCAGGCCGAGTAAATACCTGGGATATGATTAGAAACAAGACGAACTATTTATTTGACCAGGTAAGGCTCACTGAGCTATTACAGATATTTTTCAGAAGCGACCTGGCCACAAATGGTAGCTCAACGAAGTGGCTTATGTGGACATTTAGAGCGGCCAAATACTCAATGCATGTTTCTAATCGTGGAGGGGAAAACTGGAGGACCCGGAGAAACATCTACGTGACGGGGAGAACATGCAAACTCTAAATATGCGGGTGTCGAAGCAAAGACCTATTGTATAGCAGGCAATATATTTAACATCTCGCTAACGTGTTGGTCTTTTCTTCGTATGGCTGATGTAGATGCAGAGCAACATTCGGGCGGTCAGGCCACACAACCGTATCTGGAGCAGCGAAATGTATCGCTGTGATGTCTCCCTTCATATTTGTGGATCGGGCATTGCATTGTTATACTACGTATGGTCGGTTCTGGATGGCCACAGTCACACACTCAAGTGTGTTTTTATTTATTTTACATTTGTGCATCAGGTATCCGCATCTGCCACTGCATGATCGTGAGGCTTAATTGACCACACCGGAAAGAGAGGAAACCCTAACAATGGCTTGACAACATAAAGAGATTGGTGCCAGAAAGATGTGGCACTATTTCAGCATATTGGCGCAAGGCAGAGTAAAGTGGAAACAAATGACGAAATGAGCAGTGGCCACCAACGGGGCTAATGCCCATGGATCGTGATGATGACCTGCATGACGTCAACCCTCCCCCCCCATCCTGCAGTGGGATTTAAAAAAAAAGTACTGCACATCTTACACATAACTATGCAGACGTACGCTGGCCATCCCAGTACCTTGCGAGTGTTGACTTGCCAGAACCCGGAGGTCCTCGGAGCAGAAACAACAGCTTCTTGTAAACCCTTTCGCCACTTTTACCGCCGTGCTGGGTCTGATGGTTCTGCTGGATCATGGAACCCCCATGCCTTTGGGGTTCTCTCGGCAGCTCTCCGCTGCCCTGGCCTCTGCTGCCCTGCCGGTGGCCTCCGTCTCCCCGCTGGCCCCGGGGTTGCTGTGGCCGGACGTCGTTGCCGTGAGGGTTGCCGTGTGTGTAGCTGCCCTGGGGAGCCACACTGAAGCAAATCTTGACTTGCGAGCCCCGAGAGTGCGACTGCCGCGTTTTGCCCCGATTGCCAATCGGTCCCTGGGTGCCCCGGGGGTAGGTACACTCATGCAAGTCCTTCGAATAAGATCCGTGGATTTCTCGGGAGTGACATGTTCCTCTAGTGCCATGGGAGTTACCTGACCCTATGGTCTTGTGAGGGTAACATGCCCCTCTCGTCCCCTGCGGGTGACCTGACCCTCTAGTTCCCTGGTGGTTAGTTGACCCTACAGTTCCCTGGTGGTTGACTGACCTCGTGCCCTGCGGGTGACCCGATCCCCTACTTCCCTGGTGGTTAGTTGACCCTACAGTTCCCTGGTGGTTGACTGACCTCGTGCCCTGCGGGTGACCCGATCCCCTACTTCCCTGGTGGTTAGTTGACCCTACAGTTCCCTGGTGGTTGACTGACCTCGTGCCCTGAGGGTGACTTAATCCTCCGGTACCATGCTGGTAACCTAATCCTCTACTTCCCGGGTGGTTACTTGACACTCGGGTTCCCCACGGGAAGAGAGGAGGTCCCTGTGTGCTCTGAGGGCGCCTGCCCCTCGTGCCACAAGGGCCCCGGACTGTGCCTCTCCCTGTGAAGGACGTCGCATCATCCAGGACGAGCTCCTGAAACAAAGGAGGGATGTCGGCAGCCATGGGTGGTCTGGTCTACTCGCTGATAGCTGATAGCTGAGCACACGCAATCAAAATTTCATCACTAAAAAAAACCCCTCCCCCCCCAAAGATCAACAAAGAACCGGCTGCACCAACAACGTCCGCATTCCCTAAGCCACAATAGAGACACACGAGACCCGGGCGGCGACACGCTTTGCTAAATAACACGAAAACATATCATGCTTTCGCTCCCTTCATGCACGGCCACAACGGGTGAACTCTTCTCAGTAGACTCTGTCGATATGTTTGTGTTTTACAGGAGCCGTCCACGGCTTAGTACTACTGTATATCCACTCCCCTCTTCCTCGTCCCTTCAACTACGACCCCCCCCCCCACCCCACAATTCGAGAAAGGGCGGCTGATGAAACCAAAGCAGTCGTCACTTCTGGGAAATAAATCATGCTCGGGACGCCCTCTGGTGTTCACGCCTGGCACGGCCTCATCCGGCTGTGGAGATGGTCCCACAATAAAAAGTCCATGGCCCAAGCCAGGGGTCGGAAATAACAAGACCAATTTTTTTTCGAATTCGGTCAAAAAAACCCCTAATTTTTAAAAGCCTCAACGCATGTGAATACGAGACCGGCAGGTTACCGACCCCCTGGTGCTGACACTGCTGCCACATTCTGATATTAAGGCGCTCCAAAAAGTAAAACTTGTCCTAAATTTTGGATAATTCGCGTCCTCCCACCAGAAAAGCAATCTTTACGAGACCGTTTTACTATCACAGGTGCATAGTTACGCAGGCAGAATTAAACCCGTATTTACCATTCAAAACTGAGTGGAGCTGTAATGCAGAAGTTTGTGCACCGACCTATGAACCATGGGACACAAGTTCGATTCCTGGCCACAGCTAACATCAACAGATAAGGGAATCAGTCGTGAGGTCCCTCCTCCTCCACCAAGCCACACTAACATCACATTAAGCCTTCATCCAGCAGCCAATTGACAAATGGCTAATTTCAAAAATATTCATGAAGTCGATTGACAAAGTGTAAATTACTAGTTTGTGCTTGTATTTAACTCAAAACTACATAGTATTCACCTGTCATACTGGCTTACAGGCCAACGAGGTCAACGTTCGTTTCTATTCGTGACCCCGTTAGTGAACGTTCTACAATCTTATAGCATAGGTTGTCCTCTCCATAGGATGACCAATTTTGACCTAACAATGCGAATGTCATATCTTCATCAAATATGGTTCGGTTTGTTTGAATTCTCGTAATCCAAACCTGACAATTTACTTCATTGTTGAAGACAATTGATATATTGATGAAACCAGTGAGTCCGTGTATGGATGACCAAAGTGTAGTATGATAGTGCTTGCATTACATGTTTGAGACCAAGCAGACCTTTTTAATTTGAGTACACAATAGCAATGTTTAATGTCGAAAGATTATGCATCTTTAAAATATACAACTTTTGTACAAGTCATCCCTTATTTCATAAGGCTCACACTTTATTCTCAAATATATCAATGTATTACTGCAAATACAGAAAGCATGCATATTGAAGCAGTTTATAGGTTTCAGGTGTATACAAATAAAGGCAAAATAACGTGGCACAGTTATCCAATGGGCAAGAAAATTGACAATGTACTACATCTTCTAATATTTATACCATGTTTAATTAACTTGGTGGACTTCATCCATGCAATGGACAGATGCAGTCACGTATACTTAAAGTGTTTCGATTAAAATTTTCGGCATTCTACCAATTCCAGCAACATGTTTGCTTTAACACAAGGGTTAAAAACTGTGGAAGCATTAAATATTGGATTTTTTCAGCTGTTTTTAAAAGCTGCCTAAAGCAGCAGTGGGCATCCCTTGGGCAGTTTTGCATTTCATTGAAAGGCAGGCTCACTAGAGCTAAATTATCAATATTAAAATACATTACATTGTATTACCAATTATTTTCTGTGGCTGTAACATCACATACTATTTACAATAAAGCCTACCATAGGTTAATGTTACTTAAGTTAATTGAAAAAGATTCAAGTCGTATGCAATTAAAACACTTTTATACATTGTCCTAACTTTAACGCCAACGGGAATATTGTACAACAGCAAAAATACATTTACAGATCAATGATGGTACGTGTCAGATAATGTAGGGCGTAGTACCACCAATAATGAAGCACTTGATTATGTCTGGTTAAGGTTGCTCATATGTACAGTAGTGGTTGGTATATTGTATTTCAGCATGTTCCGATTTGGCTGCTTTTCGAGTGATGAGGGTACCCAAACAGACAGACGGGGTTTCTGCTATCAGAAGCTGCTGCCAAAAGTCGTTTCGTCTGTAAACTTGGCACCACCCAGCTGAACCTTCAAAATTACTTTTGGAGCTATACTGGGTGCAAAATGTCCCCTTTAGTTAAGCTGAAATCTCGTGATTATCCCCTGAGTATTTATTTTCCCAAATGTCAAGCAAGTATTGCAACACCAACAGCAGGTAATGCACCATCACTTCCAATTAAAAAAAAAATGTGCCTGTTAACATCCATTCACAATAAGTCCTAAAAATAGTAAGTCATTCTGAATAAAAAGGATTAGCCTCTCGAGGTTATCGTATATGATCTATCTCTACGCGGTACCTATTACTAAGGCATTTGACAAAAAAACTTGAATATATTTAAGCCAGCAACAGCACACAAATTCCAGTATTTATTTGTGATTAAGAAAATTAATGGTAGCTATATGGAACGCCTCAACGAGACCAACATTTTCAGATGTGCTCGCCCTCCATCGGGCAGAGGAATCCATTTTGGAGTTCTGTTGCAGCTGCGATTAAGTAAATAAAAATGGCCACACATGTGTATTCACATTTGCTATCGAGTAAAATGATGGCATTACTGACTTTTTAGAGGCCACCACAGGACGACTTCCACTCAGTTTAAAAAACAAATTACGTACAATTATCCTGACTTCAATTACCGTTTTGTAAGTTTTATAGCATGATGGTAAAAAGACGTAACAAGCGAGTCCAAGCTCGAGTATTCTTGAAACACTCGCTTGCGTTTTCCTTTTTCACTCCAATACTTCGGGCTCAAGTTCAGGCTCACCGCCCCCGCCCTGCTCGTGCGTCTTTTTGTGGCGGATTAGGCTGTACGATATGCAAAACTTCTTGCCGCAGACGTCGCACACGAATGGCTTCTCCCCGGTGTGCGTCCTTCGGTGGCGCGCCAGGTTGTTGGAGATGATAAATTCCTTTCCGCAGTACTCGCATGTGTACAGCTTCTCCCCAGTGTGCTTGCGCAGGTGCACCCGCATCATGTGCAGGTGGGGAAATGACTCCTCGCACTGCTCGCACTGGAACTCTTTGCCACCGGCGACGTCGATGGTCCTGTATTGCGTGTACGCGCGGTACTTTGACTCGTTTTCCAGACTGTCCTCCGCCCTCTGCAGTGCGTCCAATGCTGCGGCGTTTTCTTGGCTGGAGGTCGGTATCTCGCACGATTGGCCCAGAGAGAGGCTACTATTGTTGCTATTGCTACTGTTATTGTTACTGCCGTGCACGTCTGCATGGTAGGGGAAGCTAGCGTAATTCGAGTGGCTGCCTAAGGGTAAACTTCTGGACACGTAATTTGAAGCACCCAGCTGAGGCTCAACTGGATCAGATTCTATGATCTTCTTGTGACCTGGTGGAATGGAAACATAAAGAGAGCACTGCTGAGAATTATTATTTTTCAAGTTAGCTGCATTTACACCTGCATTGGTAAGTTTGTTAAAATCCCTTATGCTGTATTAATTTGTGGCACAAAAAGCAAAATGTTGGCAGGAAAATAATTAGACACTTAATAATCCAAATACGGCTGATGTGACAGACCATGTGCTTTGCGATGCTGATTTCAGAATAGTTTAATCTGAGAACTAAAAGTGATGCATCATTGTACAATCAAACCTGCCTCACCATAAGCACCATCACTATTCCTCAAATGCAGAAGAGCTAGTGCAATTGTTCTGAAGCCTGGGTTTCATAAACTGCAGTCTTTGCAACCCATTGTCTGCCTTCCACATGAACCAATATTTCCCATTCAAACACAAATAGGCTGAGATACGCTACACACCATTGATGATTGGTAAACACGTCTCATATTATATACATATGTTCCAATTCAAATTTAGAGAATCTTAATTTGAATTAGTGCCCTTTCTCACACAGGACACGTTTACAAGGTCAGGCACCTTGCAGGGTGTAGCGTTAACATGTATGGGTCATGAGAAATGGCGTTTGAGAAATGCAGTTTTAACAAATGCAAGACCAACTTTAAATCTGTTGCACCCACAATTACAGAATGCCCAAAATTAACATACCACACTTGTGCAGACACGATCCAAAATGTCCAGATGATCCCATAAAGTCTGGTCTTAAAAACAAGCCGAGCCTATTTGAAGGTGCCCCCAATCCCTCATACTAACATGACTGTTTGCACACCAACAAAGTATTGAGCAGATTAACTTTTATTGATGCCTATTGAAATGTACGCGGTAAATGATTAAGGAAATACTTTTTTAAGTATATATCAACAGCACTTGAAAAAAGGTCCTATTATATAACTGACTGCACGTGGAAATATTAAAGTATAGTAAAGAGAAACACTGAAAACAATTCAGTGGCAAAGGAAATTGTTCATTCAAGCCCACCATCTCAATGTACATCCTTTAATAAAAAAAAAAACTTTCACTTATAAACATGAACACCTTCCTCCCAACTCTTGAAGCAGAATCTCCCCAACTAAAGTAAAGCTCTCCAATTGGCCTGACGGAGCCAGATGTGACGCCTACGGGAGACCGTGCGTCTTCATGTGACAGGAAAGGCCATAGGACCTGGAGAAGCGCTTCCCACACAGCTGACAGGCAAACGGCTTCTCGCCTGTATGCGTGCGCCGGTGTCGCACCAGGTCGTGCGAGGCGAGGAAGCGCTTGCCGCAGTGCTCGCAAGCGTGCGGCCGCACACCTGAATGCTTGCGCTCGTGCGCCACTAGGTACCACTTGCGTTTAAAGCACGTGCCGCACTCCTGACAGATGAACGGCTGGTCACCTGTGTCACTCCTGCGCCGTTTGGCAGCCCGGGGTGGTGCCGACCCCGCACGGCCACCGCCGCTGCCCTGCGATTGAATACGCGACCTCGACGCCCAAGGCGAGGCAGCGCCGGGTGGAAAAGCGGCCACGGGGGAGGACCAGCTGCCAGCCTCACCACCGCTTCCCCGGTTTGCCAACTCAGCCCGCCGGTGCAGCGCCGCTTGCCGCTCCGTCATGCGGCGCCCAGTCTCAGATGGATGCCGCGAAGATTCAGAATAGCCACCATCATCGGCTTCAGTTTCATTTTCACCGCTTTGATTCCAGCTGTTTGCTAAAATGGACAAATTAGTAGTTTATACGTGTATGTAACTATAAATAAATGTACATGTACACTTGTTCACCAAATGTTAGATTGAATTTATAATGAATCGTTTACCATTAGTGTGATCGATTAATCTCTTCCTGCTTTTAACCCATTGAGACCCTTACAAAATATGTAGGGTTCTTTGGTTGCTTGTTAATTACGAGCTTGGATGATCAGTTGTGCCTAGATTTGTATTAATTCCTTTAAAGTAAAAGTTACGGTTTTATCATTCAAAGTGGCATGTTCTATTCTGTTGGAATAAAACATTTTAATTTTTGATGAGAACGTGGAAAAAAAGGTTTGCTTTTTTATGACTTATTAGTCCCCTGGACTTTGATGTATAATTTCAAATTGTTTAAGGTTAAAGACCAGTGTCCACCTGCTCAAACGAGCACTGAGCAGAGCCCATGGCATGCATTCCACATTGCTATAGCAGGAACAAAAGAGCTACTCTGTTACATCCCAACAATTTAAATAACCACAAGAAAGGTGGCCTCGGTTAAAATCTCACAACTATGAGCCTGCTGATGTCAATCGAGTTACACTGCAGCCATAATAAAAATCAATTTACCTGCTGAAGCTTGCCCAGTTTCTAGCTTCACATCCTTCACACGGTAGTCACCATCGGCTGTTTCTACCACTTCTTGTAAACCATGCGAATCTTCTGGGAAGCTCCCAACATCACCTGGGCAGCAGGTTATCCGTTAGCCTGCACCATCATTAGAAGGTGAAAACACTAACAACATCAAAAGGATAACTGTAAATATACCTCTAGCTTGAGCGTTGTCATAATGTTCCATTTTGACGTTGTAACCACTCCATTCCTGTTCTGTCCCTTCCATGTCCTCCAGATCAGTGGCCTGCTGGACTGCTTCAGATTCTGACTTGCCCCCTAGACACAGCAGTGCACATGCTCTCGTAACTGAAGCCCAACTCAAATGAGATGGTTTCATTAGACGATAACGGTTTTAGACTAGAAAACATTAAAAAGCAGCTCATTGATGAACACAGCTCGGCAATTCGATCACAATGTAATACATTAAGTTAGCAGAACATTTATATGTTTCACACTTATAAGAGCTCGTATCAAACTACAGACTTATTCATGCATTTATTTTTTTACTAGCTTGTTTGCCCGTCCAAAGACGTGGTGTATATTGCAGTATATCTGAAATATTAAATAGAAAAATTGTTCAGCTCATGATTATTAATGAGGGGGGGTTGCCCCATATGGAGTGACGTCACCCGCTCATGGTTATTGGGGAGGGGTGCGGCATGTGGAGTGACGTCACCCGCTCATGATCATTAATGAGGGGGGGGACTTCATGTGGAGTGGCGTCACGCACGGGACACACACATTCTTGGCTCATTATATAGTTTTTATAGACAATAACACTACTGCATTGGCAAGATTGTCCCAGAAAGTTTGACGAAAAGAATGGCAATAAATGTTAACAATGCTTAATTACGACTATGAGCCAAGAATGTCTGTTTGTGTGTAAAGCACGTGACGTCACTCCACATGCCGCAGCCCTCTCCGTCATTAATATTCATGAGCGGGTGGAATTTTACACTTGCGCAGGTCGAGTAGAATTTTTTTCTCGCAAATTCACTTTAAGTTTGACGTTTCTTTATTGAAAGTGAATCGAATAATTATACGCAAAGTGGATTTGGTGTCTTTATTTCTTCAGCACTTGAGGCAAAAGGTAAGTCTAATTTATGCTTCTACATTATGGTAAATTAGACATTTCTCGGTGATTTTCCAGATATTGTATCAAATTCCAATTTATTTCAACCCCAGCGACCGAAAGCAGAAGAGAATAAAGTATTAGAGCAGTGAATTTGAACAAATTGAAGGTCAGTTATATACAGTGTTACAGTGACATGAAGTGAGGTGTTTTATGACGTAGTTTTGTGCAAGAATTACTGTCATTAATACAGTGCTACAGTTAAGTGTTTTATGACTTCATTTTGTGCCAGATTCACTGCCATTAATACAGTGCTACAGTGGAATGCAGTGAAGTGTTTGATGACATACTGCCATAAAAGTTAAACAAGATACAATTATACTCTGCTAAATTTTTTCGTAAATATTACAGCTTCAATCCTAGGAAGGGCAAAACGCTAGTATTAATAGATTGCTATTCATCATGTTAATACAAATTAACTGAACCAGGAGTTCCAGCAGTGTAATTAACCAAAACAAATATGCTATTTAAATTCCAACCGATCCAAAACTTTACAATGTGAAACTCTGTAAACGCATGCATATATGTAGATACATGAACAGGCACACAAGATAGTGGTGCCGATTCATGGAAGTCAAAAAGTAGTGGCATGACGTCACTGAAGTTTACCATCTTCCCAAGACTGGGACTGGTTGTCTTGTGCATCCTCAGGGGGTCCATCAGGCACTGCAGGGGCATCAGTCTCATAGACTTCTCCTCCATCTGAAAACGCAATTTAAAGCAAAACAAAGATGACTTATTGAGGTGTTTCATTACTCTTTCAACAATACATATATGTACTCACCTACATTAATAATACATTGAGCATTCTGTAAAGTATGAAAAGTAAAACCACAAAATATAACATTCAGTCCCTGTCTTCATATCGTGTTTGATAGCATGAGTGTACACATCTTTATGGAAACCATATTAAGCGTTATTTTGCCTATATGCATACACCAATATGCACATATTGACCAACTACTGGATAGTGAACTGGGGAGACTTTTGAACTATTAATAAGTTGTACATTTTCAGTTGTGAAGCTGTAGATCCTTGATATCTGTGAACGAATTAAAAAGGTGTTTGGTATTCTTTGGGTCTATCGGTAAAATCACGTAGAGAGGTTAAAAGAAAATAACCAAAAAATAACCCAAAAAAACTAAGTTTTGATCGCAACACAGAAAAAAATGTATTTTAACCTATCTACGTTACTTTACCGAAAGACCCAAAGAATATGAATTCCTGTAGTCACGAAAGCTTTAAGTCAAGATTTAGGTGTTTGGTAATTTTGTTTAAAACAAAAACTAAATGACAGCCATTTCAAACCGTCTCTCCATGCTCAAACAAGCATAATGTGGTGCTTATCTCCTCTGGCAATCCTGAGGAGATATAATTTCACAATCATATTGATGGGACAAGTCTTGCTACAGGATAATTGCCTTTCACAGTGACACTAATTTAATCAACCCCACAGGGTGGATGGGTTGAGTCAACCCCCAATCGGAATTTGAACTTATGACCTTTGAATTGTGAGTTGAGCACTTTGACCTCAGCACCAATCAGCCAGACAATATCCACAGTAAAGTTGCATTTCTTTGGCTGTTTTGTGATTAACAATACCGTCTTCTTGTAAATACGGGCTCAGGCCTTCTTCCACAGCATTAGGGTAGAGTGCAGGCTCCAGGCAGCTGAACCTCTCGGCCGACTGCAGCAGCTCCTGGCTCAGACTGTTGAGCATGAGGACGATGGCGTCCAGGAGGCCGCTGAGAAACGGTTGGAAAGCAGTGGCTGCCGCAGTGGCCTGGAGGACTCCTCCAGCTCCCCCTGCTCCGTCGTGGCGCTTGGGAGACGAGGCCTCGGTGACGCGGCGCAGCACAGCGTAGAAGGCGAAGGGCAGCCGCTCCCTGGCAGCAGCGAACAGCTCAGCCCTGACGTGGGGCTGCTCGGCGCACGCCAGGAACGCCTCGTAGTCGCCGATGCCCAGCTCCCTGTCCACGGCCTCGGCCACGCTGAGGCTCACGCCGTGAGCGGCCAGCCACGCGGGGAAGTCCTGCCGCGGGTTGATGCTCGACACTGCCGCCGCCACTGCTGCGGCGGCCATGGTTGACTTTGAGAGCAGCTACAAAAAAGTTTTTCATTAAAACTTGAGCAGGTGCATCCTAAACACAGTGCAGACCACGATTAATGTTGTTCAACTGGCTGAATGTATTGTAAGATGAGAAGGAACCCACAATCACATATTGACATGGACCAGCATTAAACATTTTGGGTACTGGCAAAGGTAAATTTGGAAATGAGAGTCTAAACTTTAAATAACTTAACGTGTAGCCTTTTACACCATTGGAACCTCCTTTGCCAGTAGCAAAATGTGATCATTGGTTTTTTACCCTTTTATCTGGCGTCATCTGGTCCAACACCATGGTGAGACTAGGCTCTAAGGAAAGCTGTCTCGGGTGTGGACCAATCAACTTCAAGGACAGAGCATACATTATCAGAGTTATGTTTTTTTTGTTTGTGGTGAATGCAAACATGACTCCTTGTAAAACAGGGTGTCAGTTTTGTTGCCAGATAAAAGGGTAAAAAAACTATTATCGTGTAGCCCTTTCTCAATCTACCGTTGGATGAGGCCCTTCTTTTGCCGTGTCGGTCATGGGTTTTATGACCATAGCTCACCACATTAGTCAGTGTGGATTTGTGAAGGGTTCAGGACGCCTAAAACCGGTACAGGTTTCAATATCTTACTGGAAATTAGAACTGACATGCTGTGAATTTCGAGTCAGGTGCGAGATACTTGCATAAATGCAAACCAAATATTAATCACCTTGCTGGCTACTCTACGAATCCCAGCAAGATATAATTTACCGAGAGAAGTGTAGCCAGCCTCCTTAAAAGCAGACGTCTTTTTTCTAACATCTGAAGAAACCTCACAACTGTGCGTGCCAATGGCAAATGCCAACTTGTTACCACCCAATAACACATTCTGCGAATGAATAAACACGATACGGAACTTAAAACTAGATTATTATGTAACCGCTGCGTTGCGCGATGGCCAAGGAGATGGCAATATGTCAAGTGGGTTCATGAATCTCACTGTGCAGACTTTTCAATGCTATTCTTTCGTACGCGTGATATTTCTCCACGTCCTTAAGCGTCCCTGCCGCATTCATGGAACTGACCAAACATACCAAAGCAGGAACTTATCAAAACTCGGTTCAGCTTTCTTTAATAAAGGTCGTAATTCAAAGACAAGTCTTCACCAATAGGGGGTTAATTTTACTTTCATAAAAAAATTAGGCCATGGCCCACATTTTCCATAAATACTGCATTGCGTTCAACGTACGTTATTTAAGAGCAGTTCCGCTTAACACCAAGAAACGTTGTGGAAATCGAAGAAATGCGCCAACAATAACCCTCTTCCACTATACACGTGGGCCGAATGAGACAATGCTACCAGCACTGCTTCACACGAGTGAAGTTGTCCGTGGGTAGCTCAAAATAAGACTTTAAATCGGTGATACTTTCTACATCGCAATACGCGCGAAAGGTTAGGTTAGCGCCGCACTTAATTCATTGTACTATTGCGAATTTCATCTCAGGGCAGTAATTGGGGCCCTCGCTAGACTAGCTCAACTCGCTTCTCTCCAATCTGCCCGCCTGCCCTACTTAAAAACACCCCAACCCCGCCTTCGCGGCTATCACAAAACGCGTTAAAACAATTACACATCGGGTCGGTCGCATTTATCACCACCGACACGAACGAGATCGGGCGAAACAAACGAATAGAAGGGGGTTGGGAGGGTTGGTGGTGAAAAACCGCGGCAAAACCCTCACAACGGCAAGTCGAGGCCCCGGCGGTAGCAGCAACCAGCAAAGCCGTGGGCCTCCCCCAGCACCACCGCCAACCACTTCCAGCACCAGACACCTCAGGCCCTCTTGCAATCTCTACAGCGCATAAGGATACCGCGGGCGACACGCACGCACGCGATTGGTCGTAGTAATGGGGGAGGGGGGGGGGCGTGAGCGCGCGCGCGCGCTCAGGCTGGCCAATTGTAAAGCGGATTGTTTGGATGGGGGCGGGGCTGGAGAGAGAGAGAGGCGGCGCTTGACAACGCCGTCCAATCGCGAGGCGTAAAATCGCCCGGTGGCACCTATGCCGGGTGGGAAATGTAATTTCCTTTCTGGCGCCCCCTCCCCGCGCGCCCTGCGCGCGTTTCTGGGTCACGTGCTTTCGTGTTTGGGATTCTTGGGTTGCGGCCACGCGCTGTTGTGTGCTGGAACGCGTTAAGGAGTTCGTTCGCTATCTGTTCCCCAAACCCCTAGGCTAATAAGAACATTAAAAAAACAATGATAATCAATACACTTTTCATTTGTTTGCGTTCAAGTTCAACGTGTGTATGATAAAAGTAAATGGATTAATATAAATGCGTGCTTATATTAAAACCATTTTTTTGTACGAGTTGTATACCACGTGCATATTTGTCCCTTCGATGTATATGAACTTCAACATTGGTCATTAACACTGGCCTTAACATGAATAACATAAAAGGTGAAGTTTCGGGCAATGACCCTTTTTCATACCACACGAAAGATTGCCCTTTTAAAGATGAACACAGTTAAATATGCATAGCTGAAGCCATGCAAAATTATGTTCCGATAAAACACGTGATGGTAAAATTCACAGCATTATACAATGGCAACTCGAGACATGGTTCAAAACACATACTACAAAATATGGACATGTTTTCCATTAAAAAAATGATTGATTGCATATACTGGCTATTTCACATTTATTATCATATCTGACGCAATCTCTTGTGTAGCATTGAACAATCATTGCTTCAATGAAATCATGGATGTATACTAAAATATTTGAACGAAACGTGTTTTTTGTTTATTAACTATTTGGTGGAACGAACTATACATCCAAATAAATGTTTACTCAAGTAAAACAAATTATTAATATCTTTAAAATATAAACAAAGTCAACTGCAAATATAAATCTATTTTTCAGAATATTGACTTGAAACCTATCTCCAGGATTTGAACATGTCAAGGACGTTTGGAGAGGGAAGTTGATTTTTTTCAACAAAGAATTATTTTAAAAATATATAGGCTTTTTTAAATCTCGGTATTAAAAACATAGAAAGCAAACCATTGAAAGGAAAACATTGATGTTTCGATCGTATCAGAGGGATCAATATCACAATGTGCAAATAATTGATATATCTGAAGCATCTGTTACCGTACTCTTTGTTTCTTTCGGTAAAGTCACGTAGGTAGAAATAAAATAAAATAAATGACGACGTTTCGATCGCAACACAAGCAATACTCATCAGGTGGGACAACCACAGCAAGAAAATGCTGAAGTCGGCAGGAGAGCTGCCGTGGCAAGAGGTATATTAATTATTGAATATTTTCTCTCACATCTCACAATTCTTTTCTCAAATCTCACGTCATTGAATTTTTAAAATATATAATTAACTATGCAATCTGCAAACGTGGAGGTGCATAATTTAAGACGTTTTCGGTTAAAAATGAGAGTTTATACATCTCATTACATATATTGATTTTTCTCAAAATTTTATTTTTATATCTACGTATTGCTGGTAACATGATACATTATAAATATGTGCACAGTATGAGTATTAGGTAATACATGTTTGTGGCCCGCGGCTCTAAGCAAGTCAATGCGGGCCTAATTTTAATGTTTAGACACCAGTTGTAGGTGATGCCACGTATTGATAAATCTATCATGTGCATGTCTTACCATTGCATATGTTTGAACAATTTGTGCTGCTGTATAGCTCTTGAATGTTTTTTTGAGTTGCACCGCATGTTGTTCAGCACGATGTCTGACGTTTCGTCCCATGTAATGAGAGTTTTCTCAGTTCCAACACAGTACAACCCAAAAACCCAATGGAGAGCCACTTTGTTTTACTCATCCCTGATCTCCATGTAAAATTAATATTAACTGAATGGCTACTATGCATATTTATGAATTTAATGTGTATGTATTTAATGTTTATATTACAATATGTATGATCCATCGGTCATCATTCTTTTTGTAAATGTGTCCTTCCCACCACCAAAACTCAACCACTTTTTTCATAAGCCATGACCTAGCAGTGAAGTGGCCTAGCGGTAGCCTGTTCGCTTAAGCTACCAGAGGTTCACGGTTTAAGTTCAGCGGCTGCCCTGGTTAATAATGCAGGTGCGCTAAGCAGAAAACACGTGTCACCTGCGTCATAGTTGAGGTTAAAGACAAGGCGATTGCGTGCCGGTATTATATTATCCCAGTAAACATTGAACGTTGGGCCAAGAAGTTGGTCCAACTGTAGTGGAGTAGAAAGGTGCGTATTGCATGGAAACAGAGACAGTGCGGTTTATGTTGGGTCAGCCTGTTGTGAAGGCAAAGTCATTGAGGTTCATGTTGGGTCAGCCTGCAAGGAAAGCAAATACAGTGCAGGTTATGTTGGGGCAATTAAGCTGGGAAAGCCAAGGACGGCTGTGATTGGTTGGTGCTGTTGCCGGAGCCGGAGAGGCGTCTGGAAGTCTGGCGAGAAGCAGGTGTACGATCACGCGGAGTGCCGTTGGGACGCGGACTAATTAATTGGGGCGTAATGAGAGCGGGGATAAATTGGGGGGTCGGCAATTGGAGCGGGAGTTGGAGTTTGGAGAGCTTGGAGTCAACAGGGGGAATTGAAGTGTGGAGAGTTTGAGAGACAGAGTTTGAGAGACAGAGTTTGAGAGACAGAGTTTGGAAGACAGAGTTTGGAAGACAGAGTTTGAGAGACAGAGTTTGAGAGACAGAGTTTGAGAGACAGAGTTTGGAAGACAGATAATAAAGTAGTAAAGCTTTCGTGACTGCATAAAATTACTCATTGGTTTTTTCGGTAAAGTTACGTATGTAGAAATACAATAAAATTATATTAAAACAAAAAAAAACAATCACGACGTTTCGATCACAACGCAATCGATCTTCATCAGGTGTCAAGAACAAATCACGGAGGTAAATACAACAAAAAGATGAGAGACGAGAATTCAACAAACCTGAAAAAACATTTTTTGTTTTAATATAATTGTATTGTATTTCTACATACGTGACTTTACCGGAAAAAAACCAATGAGTAATTTTAATGCAGTCACGAAAGCTTTAATACTTTATCACACTTTTACGGGGAAGTTACCGTTGTAATTATGTGTAAGATGTGCCCTTTTTTGAGCTGCCGTTTTGTATTTACAAGAGGTGGTCATTTTTTGAGCTGCCGTTTTGTATTTACAAGAGGTGGTCCTTTTTTGAGCTGCTGTTTTGTATGTGTAAGATGTGCGTGTTTGAGCTGCCGCTCTCGCTCTGCCCCCTCCCCCTCTCCAACCGGATTTCCTATTTAAGTTTCTGTTCATCCCCCCCTCTCTCTCTGCCTCCCTGTCCCTCTTTCCTCCCTCCTTACCTCTTGGTGGACTTGTATATGTATTTCTACTGACCGTGTACCTCGTATTTTTCATTCTATCTATGCTGGTATGTGCAATCCAAAGGTTGAACACGAAATTTAACACTCTTCTGAAATTCGTGGTCCGCCAGGAAGTGTCTAACTGTGTTGTTGGCCTGACTGGATGTGCTTCACATAATGTTTTTTCAGGTTTGTTGAATTCTCATCTCTCATCTTTTTGTTGTATTTACCTCCGTGATTTGTTCTTGACACCTGATGAAGATCGCTTGCGTTGTGATCGAAACGTCGTGATTGTTTTTTGTTTTAATAAAATTTTATTGTATTCTACATACGTGACTTTACCAAAAAAAACAATGAGTTTTTGAAGACAGAGTTTGAGAGAAAGAGTTTGAGAGACAGAGTTTGGAAGACAGAGTGGAAGGGAGACGAAGTTGGAGACGGAGCTTGGAGAGAGCGTAGCGGTAGCGGAGCTGAACAAAGACGAAATAGTTAGCGGTGGAGAGAGCGTAGCGATAGCGAAGCTGAAGACGAGGACAGCCAGCAGTGGAGTGAGCACAGTGACGGTGATAGCGGTGAACAGAGACGAAGCAGTTAGCAGTGGAGTGAGCATAGTGACGGTGATAGCGGTGAACAGAGACGAAGCAGTTAGCAGTGGAGTGAGCACAGCGACGGTGATAGCGGTGAACAGAGACGAAGCAGTTAGCAGTGGAGTGAGCATAGTGACGGTGATAGCGGTGAACAGAGACGAAGCAGTTAGCAGTGGAGTGAGCATAGTGACGGTGATAGCGGTGAACAGAGACGAAGCAGTTAGCAGTGGAGTGAGCATAGTGACGGTGATAGCGGTGAACAGAGACGAAGCAGTTAGCAGTGGAGAGAACATAGCGACGGTGATAGCGGAGAGCGGAGACGAAGAAGTTAGCGGTGGAGTAAGCGAAGTAATCGTGGGGGAGTGGAGAGACAAAGGTGGCGAGCGAGTCGAGTGAAGCACGGCGAGCGAGCCGTGGCGACCAGGATACTGTGGAATGTGGAGGACATGCTGAGAGTTGTAAATAAAGCGGTGTTCCGAGAAAGACAGAAGTTGTCCGAGTGAAATCGAACACTACACAACAGTTCCAACCGCGTGCCAATGTTGACCCAACGTACATTTACTGAGACTGTCCAAATCTGCCAGAATTGAAAAATTACCCATAATTGACTCAAATGGAATATACATAGAAATGATCGCCTCCTCGTGCGAAAAACTTGGAAGGACCCTCCTGATAGCCACGAGATTAAGTGAGGATTTCCTGAGTAAACAAGCAAATAATAACCTTGAATTAATACTGCATGTCTGTGAATGTTGTTCCGTAATTTACGTGCTCGACAGTCGATTAGCAGGGAATAATAAGTGGGCACTACATGCAGAGTTGGAGTGGGGTATGCTTGCACCGTCAATTTGCAAAAGCCTGTTCAAACGGGGTGTACAGGAGCGTAGGAACAGCGTAGAGAAGTATACACATTGCGAGATGGCCAAGGAGACACCAGTGAATGGATGCATAGTGCAGAGTTAATCCTCGATTACATTGTAAACCTAAACCATATATACACATTCAGTCCACAGTCTAGCAAGCTACAAGACACACATTTGTATAATGTGTGTATAAGTGAACTGCACATTATATACAAAAACATGGTGATTTAAAGCAACTTCTGTACATGCCAGCATTGTCATAGCCTAATACATTTTATATTCCTGCTCGCCAGTCAGTGATGAATCTGCCAAATGAAATAGATCGTTCAACTGTAATAACATACACATTATCTGTACAGTACCAGTGTGTAATAAGGTTGTGACCCGTGGCTCTTAGAATGTTAGTCAATGTGGCTCTTTACCCGTGCCATGGTTTATACTGGCCTCATTACCAATTCACTACACTTCTCACGAACCCACTTACTTCCATATCACAATGCTGTACTGCATATACAGAATCGTATCTTTGCATGCTGGATGAATGAAGGTCTACCATGATCCAGCGATGTAACAATCCACCCAAGATCTGCAGACAAGCCTTTTTCATCGATCTATCTCCACTGTGGCTGTCATGATGCCAACATGGATGATATAATTAGTTGCAAGTGACTTACGACCGGGTCTCTCATGTGTATCACTTATAATGCAGAATTACTGTATTGTCCATCAGCCACCATTCCTTCTGTAGATGTGTCCTGCCCAATCAATCCCCCAGTAACCCCACAGACTTTATACAACAATGCCCAGAAATGTCCCATTGTTCCCTTATCCTCGTGCTGGACATGCGGCTTAGCGGTGAATAATACCCGAGGCTTCGCCTGCAGACTTAGAGTCTGGTACACCAGACATACATTCAGCTTCCCTCGATGGTGTCCATTGACTACCAAAGCCATGTGGAAGAGGACGCAAAGTAAGCGTGTGGAAAACCTTGGTTCGACTCATTCCATCGTCCCTTCGGAGCCGGTAAAATAAGTATCTCGTATAGGCGAAGTGAACATCTGTTGTCCACCCCTGAAGCAGGGCTGTGAACAGGAGATGAGCACCGCCTCGATGCTAAGTTTTGCAGCAAAACACTTTGACGTTGACGAGACACGTGCGCGTCAGATTGCTCAAGTCCGATTGGAGTTGAGCGACGGCTCAACGTTGATGACAGAAGCTTGCATTTCGCTCCTCGCCATCGGTCCTGCCGGACACACACAGCCGCGACAGAGCAGGGTCATGACGACAGCCTTCGCCTCCTTCCTGAACTTGCCGCCCGAGTGGTAGAATAGCAGCGGGTCGAGGCAGCTGTTGAGTCCGCTCAAGGACATGCTGATGAAGAAGCCTTTGGCGAGGTCCCGCAGCAGGCCGCATTTGGTCGGCGTCAGCATGCTGGTGGCGGTCAGCAGGGGCCTCACCACGTGCAGAGGCGTGAAGCAGATGGCCACTATCAGCTGCACCAGCACCACCAGCCTGGCCGCCCTGCGCCGAGCCCTGGCCACACGCACGCCGAGCGCCGTCTGGTAGAGCAGGTTGTGTGTGATGAGCCCGTGGAAGACGCTCATGACCGTGAAGGGCAATAAGAAGAAGACCATGGTGACCACGGAGCTCCACGTGTTGTAGCTCGGGTAGAGGTCTTCTAAGTTGAATGTCATGCAGCGCGTCGCATTGGCGTCCCGTGCGTCGACGGTCGTGTGGAAGATGAACGGCAGACTGAGCTGTCCGCCCAGCACCGTGACCCAGCCGGCCAGGCTGACCAGCTTGGCGGAGGTGAGCGAGCGGTTGCGGAACGCTCTCGTTGGGTGGACGATGACGAAGTAGCGCTCGGCACTGATGCACATCAGGAAGAAGATGCTGCCGTAGAGGCTGATGTAGGTGACGGTGATGAGCATGTCGCACGCTGCCTCGCCGAATGGCCACTGGTTGTCGTACATGTAGTAGATGGAGCGCACGGGCGCAACGAGCACGAAGAGGAGGTCGCTGAGCACCAGGTTGAGCATGTAGACCGTGAAGCAGGTCCAATCCTTGATGCGCCAAACGATAATCCACAAGGCGAACGCGTTCCCCAGGAAACCCACAGTGGTCTCTATGAGCAGCAGTGACACCGTATATTGTGAGAATAGCTCGTTGATATAACACCTGCTCAGGTTGTAATTTTCCATGCTTGGAGATTGTTGTTTTTATTCATTTAAATGCGGTGTGTAAATTGAGGTGGAAATAAGACTGTAAGTGCACGTAGGAATACGTTTCAAATATCTGTTGAAATGGAGACACCTTGATAGATATGCTGCGATTATATCTTCAAGATAAATGACTGTTTTGGCACCATTCCTTGGTCGGCAAAATAAGTTAAAATCCAAAAAAGCCACGCAACAGATGGAAATACAATTCCATAATTAACGGAAGACATTTTATATTTTAGTTGCGTTTTTCATTGCAAGACGTACCTATTAATTATGATACCAGATTTAAAGTTTGAACGTAACGTCCGACTTAAATGCTTGTCCCTTGTAACGCGTACTTTTATAGATGGGGAGCCAATGGTTCTGATTGGGTCTTTCTCTGTGCTCATGTAAATGACAAAAGGCAACGTAAGTCAATACACACCCAGAATCTTAGGGTAACCAGAGTATTTTTTATTGTTTTATTTTATTGTTTTATATTTTTATTATTTTATTGTTTCCCTTCTACGTGGCTTTACCGAAAGAACCAAGAATATAACCAGAGTATGTTTGGGTCAACTGGGAACGCTAGCTAAATTCACTAGAACCAACTGCATTTTATGAAATTTAAATCATTCCATGCGATATGAAGCTTTGTAAATCAAAAATAGCAGAATTTTACGGATTTTAGTAATGAACTTAATGGTGGTTATCAGCAGTCTAGATAATTATTTACCAATAGCAAAACAGATGTAGTACAGTCGTGCTACATAATAACCAGTATAAAATATAATCGCAACGGATGTGCACGAAATTAAATTCAACTGACACCACCTGTTGTTCAGCAGTAAAAACTATTTTAACAGCGGATTTTATTGTAAACGCATCAATATTGAATCAATTTGAAACTAGAATATACCGTATACAATTAGTGGTATCTAGATTACATATGCTGGATTTGGCCTATTTGCATATGGATACAATATACTGTGCGGACAAGCACACTTTTTCTGCATGCATGTGCAATTATTTGATTTAAACTTCAGAGTTATTTTGGAACTCGAAATAACCGTCTATTAAATACGCCTTTCTGAAAAAATAACTTTCGTTATATAATGCAGGTGAGATACGGGTGAATTTCTGGCATGCATTTTCACAAATGGAGGATACATTTTGACAATGCATGATTTTAAACGATTCTTGATTTTATCTTTCCTGTATGAGCGAAGTTCCGGTTGGCACAGATGGGACACAGATAGTGCATATATCTGTTGGTCATCTCACCTGACCTGTCAGCGAGCTCTTAAAGTGCATTTGTGATGCCACTACAGCGAAGCCGCTCCGCCGAGGCCGGAGCCGCCGCTGTGCTGCTGCGACAGCGAAGCCATCCGGATTCCGTCACAGCGCTTTCCCCACCCCCCCCACACATAAACACACACATGCCCTCACGTAGGGCCTCGTGGGGGGGGGGGGGGTCGCCTGCCCTAGTTTTTACCCGAGAGACCCCCTCGTGGGGGTGCTCCACGGTTTCTCAGGGCAAGGGAATTGGCAGAGCCCCTCCCAGGCCGAATGACACTGCGGCGCCATGGATTAACTTAAAATTGTACGGCCACGGCGAACTCACTGAGAACCGCATTGAGGAAATGCCCAAGGCACACGCGGACCAGCAGGCAGGTGGGGAGCGGGGCGGCGCAGGTTGATGCCTATGATGCGGTGCAGGTTGATGTCTATGATGCGGTGCAGGTTGATGTCTATGATGCGGTGCAGGTTGATGTCTATGATGCGGTGCAGGTTGATGCCTATGATGCGGTGCAGGTTGATGTTTATGATGCGGTGCAGGTTGATGCCTATGATGCGGTGCAGGTTGATGCCTATGATGCGGTGCAGGTTGATGCCCATGATGCGGTGCAGGTTGATGCCCATGATGCGGTGCAGGTTGATGCCTATGATGCGGTGCAGGTTGATGCCCATGATGCGGTGCAGGTTGATGCCCATGATGCGGTGCAGGTTGATGCCTATGATGCGGTGCAGGTTGATGCCCATGATGCGGTGCAGGTTGATGCCTATGATGCGGTGCAGGTTGATGTCTATGATGCGATGCAGGTTGATGCCTATGATGCGGTGCAGGTTGATGCCCATGATGCGGTGCAGGTTGATGTCTATGATGCGGTGCAGGTTGATGCCTATGATGCGGTGCAGGTTGATGCCCATGATGCGGTGCAGGTTGATGCCCATGATGCGGTGCAGGTTGATGTCTATGATGCGGTACAGGTTGATGTCTATGATGCGGTGCAGGTTGATGCCCATGATGCAGTGCAGGTTGCTGCCCATGATGCGGTGCAGGTTGATGTCTATGATGCGGTGCAGGTTGATGCCCATGATGCAGTGCAGGTTGATGCCCATGATGCAGTGCAGGTTGATGCCCATGATGCGGTGCAGGTTGATGACAATGATGCGGTGCAGGTTGATGCCCATGATGCGGTGCAGGTTGATGTCTATGATGCGGTGCAGGTTGATGACCATGATGCGGTGCAGGTTAATGACCATGATGCGGTGCGCTTGTTTAAACAATGGGGGGCGGGGCGTCAGAGGGGAGGCTGCCGGTTGGATGAAGGGCCAGCGGGTCGGCGGCACGCAGGCTTTGAAGCTGGGGCATAACAAGGAGTGGGATTGGGAAGCAAGGTCTCTTTGCGCTGGGGGTCAACTGGAGAGAGGGATCAAGGAGGCGTCATCCCCCTGCTACTCGAACGTCCGTGAGACGGGTCAGAGAGCAGCCGGGTCCAGTTTCCCAGCCAAAGCCACGTGCAGCCTCGCCTTTCCGTGGCTTCCTACACCTCGAGGTCGGAGCGTAAGTATAGAGTGGAGAGGTAAGTCCGAAGAGAAAATCCCGTCGAGGGGTGAGTAGGGAGAGACTAGGCAAATTGAGCCCTAAACAGCCGGGAGATAGGACAGTCTTGCCCTGCTGATCCGCACTAACACGAGTAGAATCATTCTAGTTAAATAGAGAATAAACCACCAGTAGACATTAAACCGTGTCGTGTTGTCTCTGTGAGTACGGGGAGGGAGGGGGGTGCGTGGTGTGGTGAGCCTGTGGTGTCTTGTGTTTGCGCACGAGCGCAATATTTTGCCCGCGCGTGCGCGTTCGCCGTGCACGTGAACTTGTGAGCCCGTGCGTTGTGGTGCCCCGCGTGTTCTGCGCGCGTGGGCACTCTCGCCGGTGCGCAGCTCGTGGTTGGCGTGCACGAGAAGGGCACCGCGGCGCATCTGCGAGTTGGTTAGTGCAGCTAGTTAAATGATGCTTCTGCGAGGAGCAGTAGCGAGGGGGGGGGGGGGGCAGAGGAGAGCGGGGGCGGGGGTGCACAGGAGAACGGGGAGGCGAGGGGAGCAGCCCTAACACATTCCGCTTGGCAGAAGCGTTTTGGTGATTTAACCGTGGTGAATGGTTGGTTGTTGTGTAGCGGTTATTGCGCTGCTGCGCTACGAACCTGGTGGCTCGAGGTTGATTCCCGCTCACGACCAACACCAGTGACGAGTATCTGAACCGGTCCTGGGCATCCCCCGAGGTCGACTCAGCCTCAAATGACATCGCCCACTGGGGAGACAAAGGCAATCGGGCGTGGTGCTGGCCACACACCCCCTCGTGTACCGTTGCCAACCTTCATAGGTACTCGCTTACAGCACTTGCCCGAAGAGTCTGTAAAGGCTACAGTATATGAGTGGTCTTTGTCTTTGTTACTGCCAGATTTTCTGCTGGTGGGTTTGATCGGGGGATGGTGTGAGATGGACCCATCCTATGTCCTGGTCCGTGGCTAGAGGCGGAAAGCTGCTAAACAGAATAAGAGAGCACAACACTGTATGATTTCTAGAGCTGATGTAGGGCAATTTGTTCAGCAGAGGGATATAAGCCTAGTTATGATTGCATCATCCATGACTTCTAGGAATAACATGATGCAATTCATATCATGTATGACGGAATACCAGGTTCAGATTGCATCATTGATTGTTTTTCTAAAAAAGCAAGTACTGTCCAAACCCAGTCATATATTTATTCAAAGATCCAGTCAAAGATGTATTTTAGTCATTTCTGGTTTAAATTGAGATCCCTTCCCTTTATAACTCACTTATTCTCCACCATTCCCAAGTCAACGGGCGTATATACTGACCCAGTAGCATATCTTGTAAACTAGAGCCAATCAACAATTGTAAGCATCATTTTCATTCTCATTCTCAGTGACCCAGAATTAGTAAAGTTGGACTACATTTATTTCGGAAGCATTTTGGCTGTAGACCAGTGTTATCAGAGGGTGTCTCCGATCCCCATGTGGAACCCGGTCCTCCATAGGGAGCGGGTCCTGAGCAGCGAGTAGGGAGGGCATCGGTGGACCAGCCAACAGTGGCATTGCATTCCCTCGTGCTGGATTGAGGTGTCCATAATAAAGGGGGGTGTTTTTTTTGGGTAAGATCGTGCAAATATAAATGCGTCGTTATTTACACGATGCCAGAGATGGCCATCGTGACTCGTACCAGCGTGGTATGCCAAGATAAATGTATGTTTGCGTATCATTACAGGAATTAAATGTATGTGTAACTACAGTCCTTGGAATAAATGTATGCATTGTAAACACATGAGTGTAAGAGTGTTTGTAGTTGTATTTTATATCTATTAGGAGCTTTTGAGATTTTCAAGGTGAACTATTTTTCGTTGAATAATAATTTATTTAACTAAGCAACAACGGTATGCTTAGTGGCATTACGCCTTTGTTGTCATCATGCACCTGCGATTAACACGCTTGATTATGTACATTGCGAATAAAAGTTCAACATACATACCTTAGTTTTCAATATAAATTACTGGGAACTAAGGGTGAATGGCACTGAATTTTAAGCAACATATCACATGCCCTTGAGAGAAATCCGGTAAGGCCAAGGAGAGGGTATTGAACATTCTGTAATTTATTATCGTAATATTGCCTGCAATCCATCGTATTTACTTTGGTCCAGAGTTTCCCTATCTTAAATCAATGTTGCTGAAATTAGGGGCCGTCCATAAATGACGTCACGCGATTTTGGACTTTTTTTGACCCCCCCCCCCCCTTCGTCACACGGCGTTACAAAAAGTCAAACCCCCCCTCAAATATGACGTCACAAAGCTCTGCCCCCCCCGCTAAAATAAATGAAATATGCTTCAAATCGCTTTAAACTATCGTCATTGTAGTGCGTATTTAATGTAGCGCTGCACTCTGATGTTGTAGGAGAAAACATTTATTTAAAAAATCTATTTAATTAAGTAGAACGTCTTCTTTGGTTATTTCGGTAAAGTCACGTAGAATGAGAATAAAATAATAAATTGATAAAATAAAATAACACAACAATATTCTCACGACGTTTCGGCCACAACACAAGCGGTTTCGATTTAAAGCTTTCGTGACTGCAATGATTCATCTTCTTTGGTTCTTTCGGTAAAGTCACGTAGAATGAGAATAAAATAATAAATTGATAAAATAAAATAACACAACACAAGCGGCCTTGTGTTGTGGCCGAAACGTCGTGAGAATATTGTTGTGTTATTTTATTTTATCAATTCATTATTTTATTCTCATTCTACGTGACTTTACCGAAAGAACCAAAGAAGATAAGTAGAACGTGTTGTCTATATTTATTTAAAGTTGCGCATTTTGATGTGACGTCACATTTCTCAACCCCCCCCCCCCTCGTCACACATCGTCACAAATGTCTGACCCCCCCCCCCCCCAGGTGCGTGACGTCATTTATGGACGGTCCCTTATGTACTCCCAGACGGCCGTGGGGCTGATGGATTGTGTAATAAATATTTTTATATATTTTTTACGTGGAGAGAGGGATATTGTCGGCTTATTTACGCTGTACTATTCTTTGGGATAATTGAACTCCGTACATTGTGTGTGTTGTAATATTACGTCGAAAAGTATTAAACGTTCACTCTGAATTGTTTTTACCTTTCCTCTACAGTATTTTAATTGTAGTCGAAATTGTTTAAGTTGTGTCAGTGTCAACAAGTCTCCATAGGCGGCGCTACACATACCATAGAACGCGTATATACATCTGTACTACACAATCGTCAACAGTAAGGTCATTGCAAATATAACCTTAAAACCAAGATAAACTTTTACCTACGAATTACCGCCCTGTTGTATAATTCGTGATAAAAAAAAACCATTTAACAAAATAAACTCGCGTCCCTGGGTGGGCTCGAACCACCAACCTTTCGGTTAACAGCCGAACGCGCTAACCGATTGCGCCACAGAGACCGAGGCGTCTGCCTGGAGCCACGTGATCTCTCTTAAAGGCTTGCGCGGTCGCCCAAGTAGCTGGGGGCAAGGTTGAGAGGCCGCGACCCCGTTACCGTAGCAACCCGCCCCCTCCCCCCCACATGGAGGACCCTTGGCGGCCGGTTACCGTGGCAACGGCGTGCCGCGTCTCCATGGCAACGGCTTCGCACGCCCCCCCCCCCCCGCTTGTACCCAACCACCATCTGCCTGGCCGCGAGAGGCATGCCGGGAAAAAGCAAGGAAGTTTGAATGTGGATTTGACGGAAATAAAGCGCGTGGGGGTGGTGGGTTTTTTTTGGTGGTTGGTGGTTGATTCGTAAACATTGTAAGTCATTTTTTTTGTTTGTTTGTTTGTTACAAAGATACTCGAGCGTATATTTGCGGTGAGTAAAGTTACGGCTGCAACTGAATACTATGTCCTGAATACTAACGTTGCGTAGCGAAGCGACGTGATTTTTAGCGGCAGAGTTGAGTTGCACGCTGCTGCGTCTAGGCCCTGTGGCGTTTAAACTCTTTCACTTAAACGGCGCAACATCGAATAACGCCGTTATTGTTACACTACAGCCGGATCATGAAACTATTGTATTACCCTCACACAGCTTGGCTTTGGGGAATTTCCTCTCATTGTATATCCCCCATTTCTTACGCATGTATGTTGAACTTCTTTCGCACCGTACGTAGCCAACCGTACTAATCGGAGGCGCGGGAGGACGACAAACTAAACGCACACAAAAGTATATATTTAATATATATTACAGTACGTTGCTCAATTCAAGAGACGGATTTCAGAAACTTATTATTGAACCTCGAATGGTGCTGTTCATTGCTGACCGCTTGTCGTTGTTGGACCTTTGCGGCCTACGCTTAGCAACCGGGATGTTGAAGAATTTTTTTTATATATCGAGACGATAAGTGACGCAACTTCGAAGCCCCACCTGTTGTTACCCTCGGGGATATGCCATTGTGTTGCCCATTCGTCAGTCATCACATTGTTATATTGTCCCTTATTATTCGATGATCTTACAGCCTCAAAAACACTGGCCTCTTCAGTGTTGATTAAAATATAACTTCGCTTCGGTTGGGCAGCACGGATTCGCGAGCACGAGGACGTGGGTTATAGAAAATCCCCGCCACGGTCGATTCATCCAAGAGGCCGCACCCAACACCACCACCACCGCCGTCACCCCCAACGAGGTCAGTAAAATAAAATACATTTGCTTTCGAGGGAGCGGTTTAGTGAAACAAAATTGTTGCTCAATAAATAGAATGCTGTATATGTCACGTCTTAATGACAACCATACAATGAGTATGTATTTTTTTAAGAGAGCGGTATTATGTTTACACAATTCCGTTGAGAGTCGGTCATGTAGGAGGATTTTGTTTCAACATACAGTACTGTACTGCCTGGTAAAGGGAACACATTTTATTTCATACTCTTTGGTTCTTTCGGTAAAGTCACGTAGGTATAAAATAAATTAAATCACGACGTTTCGATTGCAACACAAGCAATCATCATCTGGTGGGAAAACCACAGCAATCATTTTTTTAGCTGAAGTGGGAGAGAGAATTGCCGTGGTAATGATGATGATTGCTTGTGTTGCAATCGAATCGTAGTGATTAATTTTTATTTTATTTTATACCTACGTGACTTTACCGAAAGAACCAAAGAGTCATAGTTCCCGGCAGTCACGAAAACTTCAAATCTACATTTTATTTCGTCTCTCGCCGAGTTCTCGATTGGATTGAATGCGTGCCCCTCTCCAGTATATCTGTTCAGGTCTACAAGGATCACGAACACTGGACGTGTAACCCATCCCCGCAAAGTAAACTGTTACGACTTTGGAAATTGCAGTTTTGATTAGATGGAGTTTTAAATCATAATTGTTGTTTTGTAGTCACATCAGCTTCATCATGAGACCATCTGGAACCATACAATCTGCTTTCAAACGTGCATGTTGCTAGTACAGTACAATATTGCCAAAGTTGCGTGACAGTTTTTACTCTCCATATAAAATATCCTTGTGAACGTGCTTTGTCGAGGCGACGTGTGTGCAGATGGAGAGCCATGAGGATGCCTGTGAGAAACTGGATGGAGACTTCGATCATTTTCTTGTTGATATGAAGCCCTTTGTGCTCAAGCTTCCACACAAGTCTGGTAATGAGCATTGTGCACCCAATCTTGATTTTTCTACCTACGTGGCTTTAACGAAAGAACCAAAGAGTATTCTGCACCCAATCTCGCGGCGGGGGGGGGGGGGGGGGTGTCTTATTTGCTCCATTAAATCATAAACATTTACGGGAAGTTGTGTTGTAGTTGGAGTACTGTTATTTATTTTGCCTGGTCAGGCCCACTTAGCCTATACAGCTTTTTTTCAGAAGCGACCCAGCCACGAATGATAGCTCAACGAAGTGGCTTATCATGTGGACATTTCCAGCAGCCAAATAATCGAAACGCATGTTTATAAAGGTGGAGGAAAAAACCGGAGGACCCGGGGAAAAATCCACGTGACCACCGGGAGAACATGCAAACAATAATACACAGGCGTTAGGGTCGGGGTTGGGATGGAACCAATGACCGGTGTACCAGGCGAGGTAGTTAACATCTAGCCACCGTGGCACTGCAAGTTCATATCTGAGTTGGTACAGTCACATTTTTGCTTTGGGGTGTATACAATTGGTAACCACTTTTGTGGGAAGTCGTGAGTGTTCAGTGTGGATTGAGAGTGTCCCTCGTTCTTTTGTTTTTTGAATAACACACTACAAAGAAAAACGCTGCTATTAAATATGTTACGTATCCTGGTAGAGTTTTTCAAGAGGGGCAATATACGCCAATGAATAAACAACCAAGCTTTCCAGAAGGACACTCATAGATATAGATTTATAAAAACCCATCTTACTGCACTTTTCAAGAGACTATAACCACTTAAGACACCAGACAGTGTAAGTGTTTGAATACACATTTAACATTGTAGTGTAAGATGTTAATGGCATGAGATAAGGTATTTTTTTATTTCTTAGCTGATGCCGTAATGTGTTTGGTCACACTGAGTATGCTTTTCTCAAAATTCACATGAACTTCACTCGTATTTTGCTCTGTATCCTTAAGCATTCAAGGAGTTTTTCATATTGTTTTAAAATGTGCTCATCAAAGCTGGCTCAACAGCACTCACAGTCAGACTTTTCCAATAATGAGCAATCCTTTGTGTTATGCTAAAATTTAGAAATGTTACATCTTTATAATATGGATTTTTACCTCAGGAAAGTGCTCCTCGGATGTTATTTTCAAATTAATCAGTACATAAATGCCACTGCTTTACATGAAGTCATTTTATTTCAGTTGATTTTATGCCATTGATGCTGTTGACAAATGAGTTGATTGTGGCAGAAATAAAAGATAAGTTAGTTTTATAAACTCTCACATGCCAAATGGTGATGTGGAAATGTAAAAAATTCTAGGCTATGTGGGAAAAATATTTATAATCATGTGTTTATGAATAGATGATTTACAATGTATGAAGATCATATGCAAAGTCAATGCTGCAAACTAAATTTCCAAAATGATATTGAATGAGTCACAAACAATGCAAATGTAATGGTAAAAATGGGGAATTTTTTAAAATGAATTCTTGGGTAGAATCATGAACCTAATTTTTTACAATTGAGTGATTTACTGGAGGAGAGATAAATCATTTCACACTGGATAAGGATTCTTCAGACGTTGACTGTGAGTTGTAGAATGTAACTGTTGTCTGGCGCATTGTCCACAGATCGGCAACGTTGCGCGCTGTGGATCAAGAAGCTCTGTGAGCCGCCGGTAGCACGCAGTGGAGCCCTGGGCATCTCAAGCCGCAAGAACCGCAATGACTACGCACGTCTGCTGCTGCACATGTTGCGCCGGAGTGTGCTGGAGGAGCCCTTCACTCACAGGCCTGACACGGGGCCCCTCAAGACGCTGCCGACTTACATGGTGCATTCTACCTGCATAGGATTTCGCGATTATGCTCCATAGCTCTCCGATGTGTTTTTAGGTTGTGCTGCGTGTTGTTCGGCATGGTTTCTGATGATTGGGTGCACATACTGGCAGCTTCAGGACTGAATTGAGTGCACTTATTCGCACTCTTTTGCTCCCTTCACATCACTACTGTTTGGCAGTCCCTTACCACTTCACGAATCATAGGCTAACACTTTGTTACAAAGCTTAGTGCTCACTGCAGTAGCATGCACGTGAATGTTATTCATTCATAATACCCCTGCGCTGACCGCTGCTTTCATTGAACTTACGAATGTGTCGCATGCCTTGCAGGCCATCTACTTTGACGAACCCCTGGAGGACATTGTGGCGAGCCGGGAACCCCCAGACTGGGTCACGGGTGCGCTTGACGCACCAGAGGAGACCTCCAAACGTTCGCTGAAAGAGGACGAACGCTCGGGTCCGCACCTCTCCTTCGATTCAACGTGCAGTCGTCACAGGTTAGCGGCACGCACTTGCCGTCACAAATTGCAGCGCTGAATTATTAACGTCTCTTTGTGTCGAGCTTTGACTCACAGGGAGAATGTGTGATTAATATTTAAGGGAAATATATAAATAACTGACACGTGAACTTATCTGCATGGCAAAGTGAGAATGTTGTAACTGTAGTGATTGAATGTTGCATGACATTGTTATACAATGATACGTAGTTTTGAGCAGCTTCACAATATTCAGAGAGAATATGTATGAATTCTACATGAAATACTGTATTTTACTCGTAGGCCCATCACTACAACATATTCTGCACAGCATTCATAGGTGGCATAACCACACACCAAAACCACTTTGTATATTGGAATAGATATCAATGAAAGTAATGAAACTGATAACATAGAAAAGACAACCTTTTTGTCTACAATATATGGAAACATTTCATATGAAACTTTTTTTTATCAAAACATGTGTTTAAAATTAAATATGAAAGTGATTGCGATATTAAACAATAACAATAGTTAAAGCAGCAATTCATATTATTTGGGTCTTTTGGTGGAATGATGGTGAGCCGAGTCCAACCCCCTGGCCAGGATTTGAACTCTAACGGCAGTACCGTCAAGCCAACTGGAATCCCATTGCCTCAACTTTCATCTCAAAACATTTCCATTTGATTTGAACAGTCCACAAAGCTCTACAAAGACAAAGATCCCCCGTATAGCCTTAACAGACTGTTGGGGCAAGTGCTGTTAGCGAGCACCAATGAAGGCCGGCACGGTACATGAGGGGGTGGGTGGCCAGCACCACGCCTGGCCACCTTTGTCTTCCCAGCGGCGATGTTTTACCACCGAAAGAATATGAATTCCTGCAGTCACAAAAGCTTTAAGTCAAGATTTAAAGCAGCAAGTAAAAAAAACAGTATAGCAAACAAAACCACCACTCTAACACGTAGGCTTTCGCGACCACATTTACATATTTACGCGATCTAATCCAAAAAAAAACTTATGGAAAACCACCATTGCCAATACAGTATACAGTACTGCATCACCACATAGTTCAACATTTCAGTTGCTTCTGGCCTCCTGTGTCAGCAGAGGGCAGCAGAACCTCGTAAAAGTTTGCTCCAAAAAAATCAGGGTTAAAACATATAATTATCAACTGCATGTTTATTTAAGAACCCTTTGCAGTAGTATGCAATAATTCTTCATCAAATGTACTTAATATAAATGTGTTTTAAATAGTACACATTGTATTGCATTTGTTCATTCGTGTAGCACAGACAATAAATCCAAGATACAGCAAACTCAGCATATTTTTGAATCCAATCTTAAACCATATAAATATTGTATGTTACAATTAATTAGTAAGCTTGGTTTTCCAATAATAGAGTTATTTTACTTCGGTGCTTAGGTTTATTGATGGCACTGTTTCAATGTCTAAGCAGTGCGGCCCATTTCCGTGTTGTCACATCACACTTGTGGCATGTCCCGCCCATTCTTTTAGCAGTGGTGTACCATGTGATAACACTTTGCTATCATTTAACCAGACGGATGTCGTCATGCAGTATTAACTCACGTAAATACGTTGGAAATCAGACAGCAATAAATAATATCAAGCAGACCCAGTGGGACATTATGACATGTTTGGTGTCGCTCATTTAGCACAGATGAGTGAGTGTTTTTTTGTAAGCGCAAGTGCCATTGGCACTTCTAGTGGCTTCTACTGGTACTGGACTGCTCCTGAATTCACATTGTATCCGCAACGTGCTGTGACTTTTAAGTTGCAGGATGTGGAATGTATGAGCATACACAATTATGGGGAAACGTATACTTTTTTTTACAAATGTTTTATTTTGATAATTGTACCCGTATCTGTAAGCTTAATATTAATGAATATAATCAGGTTTAAACGTCTGAATTGGTGTACAAAAAAGTATGGTAGTAGTACTTTTTGATCGAAGCAGTTTTGTGATGAGAAAAGAAACCGGTCATGTATACATTGCTGTGTTTCCAGAGAGGGATTAAACCAAAAAACACGAGCTATGTGTGTGCCCCAGGTGATTATTAAGCTATTATTGTATTTGTTCACTCCTTAAGAGTGTGTTCCTAAAGATGTTTCTTATTATGCCTTGAAGGGCATTGGGGTAGTGTTCCAAGGAGTTGTTTATGTAATGAAAAATATGTCAAAAAATGTACCAACATGGCAAATGAGAACCTGTACAAACATATGCACACACTAGATGCATCATTACATAAAGGCGGGTTTCTGTCACTTGGGAGTGAATCGCACAGCAGTGCATTTCCACACAAATATTACAAAAAAAGTATGTGTATTTTTTTTTATAATTCTTGTTTTTTTTTTATACCAGCATCAAAATGACACACAAGGGGATATGATTGTGCATTGGCTGCGTAGTCCATAACTTGTACTTTGATGACTCTAAATGTGTATGGACATACCCATGATGTGGAATCATCAGTTAAGGTCAATCCACTGCTGAATGAAGGCCTCCTGAAGCTGCAGCCATCTCTCATGATCCTGTGATATATTAATCCACATAGTACCTGCACATGAGTTGATTTCATTGCTCCGTCTCCTCCCTCCGTGGACGTAATCTCAGACACTTTCCATTTTTTGGCTGCCACTCCATCATTATTCTTGACCATCGGCCATCATTCTTTCTCGTGACATAATCCTGCCCAAGCCAGCTTACGTTTGTGATCCCATGTAAGCAAATATTCTATATGAGCAACACTAAGTTTAATTAGTTTTATTTTTCATCCAAAATTATGCACCAGGGAATATTCTTGAGCAGTTACTGAAGTATGTTCTAGTGCAAAAATTGCACTGGGATGTCTGTAAATATATAGACCGTCCGTGCTATGTTCACATGCCAGAAAGTATTCCGAATCATTTAATTTGTTTATTTTATTCCCAGTTATATGCAAACGTCTCAAGTGTTTTCTTACTTAATTGATCATAATGAAAGATCAACTCTACATTGAGACATAGGCTACTCTGACTTTTCAATATTTTTGATAATTCCCCAAAGGTGTTAAGTATCTATTTTTGCTGTGTAATAGTCTGGTAAGCACTAGTCGTGTTTTTTTAAGTGACAGGACTAATAAGACAAACCATATATTTCTGCTGAAAAGAGTGTTGGGTGGTGCCTATCACCATTTGTGGCTCTGAAAAAATGTTGGATTTTCCATATTCCAATGGCAGGGACCTGTCTATCTAGATTATGGTGACTTGACTTCCCACAAAGAGGTCGTAATTGTTTACGTTATTCACTGTAGGAATAGTGGGCTTGGTTGAATAAAGACCTGAATGGGAGATGAAGCGCTTCAGGGCGGGGTGTTTTTATATGGTCTTTGGTGACTGGGCTGGAGTCATCACACCCACTGCACTCAAGTACTTGGCTTGCTCTAAAGAGCTGCACCTCCACTGTACGATCTCAGACTTGCCAACCCTGTGTCTTGACCCCCTGAGGCTCTCAGCCACCTGAGCGACATCATTTTTAACTCGCTCCACTGTTCATTCCAAAACGCCAAGCTGTTGCGCACACATCCACATTTCTCGGAAACCAATAAAATGTGTTTGAATTGAAATCCAGGATGGTGCGGGAGGTGGTGGGGGGAGGAGGGTCGGATGGGGGGTGGATCACCGGCAATGATTTAAGACCGTTCTAAAGTGTCTTCTTGGCAAGAAATAGCCTGGGGGATTTTAGAGCTCAATGCAAAGCTAGTCTTTTTGAACTGGTTAGAGACAGCTAGGTGGTGTTTACCACTTCAGCTGGTTGAGCATTCTGACTGGTTCACCGTTGAGTTAGAGATGGGTGTGGAGGAATCGATTTTTTTAGGAGAGGTCTTCAGCAACATTTATGGTTTAATGTTGGTCATGAGGCCCGGTGAAAACTGACCCGGAGGCATTTTAGTAATGATGCGCTCTCTGAGGATTTTTCAGCCTCATCTTTAAAATTTTCAATGGTTGTTGCTTCCGGTGACCTGCTGGTAAATTCACAGAGAACCAAAAATCTTCACCTTGACCTGTTTCGGCAATCTGATATATTGCACGTAAATACAATAATAATAATAATAACAACGCATTTATTTACATTGAAGAGATGTTTTTTTTTCTACAGCTCGCACATCTTTTAATAAAAGGATTGCCTTTTTGATGTTGATTGTTTTAAGTATTTTTTTTCTTGTAATATACATTTTATTTGGCACAGAGTCGTAGAACACCATTTTATGTATTCTCTGAAGTTGCATAAGTTATACATTACTCAAATCCAAAAAACTTGACGTAAGCTTCTCACATTGCCTGTACTTATCTGTTAAGAGTTTTGGTGCATGTACACATTAAATGTGTATGCCAAAAAACTCTTTATAATTCCATCACATTTTAGGTTTGGTGTACATTATTTAACTTGTGACATAACTCAGGAGGCATTTTAAGATGTATAATAATGAGAGATTTAAAATTGTAATTTAAAAATAAATAAGTACAAATCTACAATACACATAGACGCACTGCCTTTATACTAAAATAACACAATTTGTCTGTAATTATCAGCGTTTAGCAATACATTTATATAGCCTTTTGTGGGAGCGGTGGCACAGTGGTGATCACACTGCGCTGTGAAGCTCGTGACCAGAGTTTAATTCCTGGATATGACTACCATCAGTTGTAAGTACAGTAACAGCATACATGGGGGCCTTAGCCCCACTCCCTCCCAACCGTCCCAGCATGGTGAAGCATGGTCAACTGACGCCCATGACCGACACAGTGTGGGGAGGCATTCATCCAGCAGTGGATTGATGATCAGGTGCATAAATTTCGATTGAAAGCTTTCGTGACTGCAAGGATTCATCTTCTTTGGTTCTTTCGGTAAAGTCACGTAGAATGATGAAGGCCGCTTGTGTTGTGGCCGAAACGTCGTGAGAATATTATTGTGTTATTTTATTTTATCAATTTATTATTTTATTCTCATTCTACGTGACTT